GAATGTTTGGATTCAGTACAGCATGACACCAAATGATAATAATCCCCAAAAAAAATAATACTGCCAATGCCCAGTTCGTCAAAGAACTTTGGGAATGATTGCTCATACATCAAGTATACATTATTATCTTGGACATTTTAGAATTCTTTAAAATCCAAAACAGTTGCACCAAAGGGCTACGATATTCCGACAAATCTTGAAATAAGTTGTTTTCTTGTGAATCTAGAATCACTAGTTTGAAAACAAACTCAAAACCTCGCATCTTTGTTTTTCTTCATTCCTTTTCCATGTCTACCATCGAACACATATCATACTCTTGCGTCTTGTGAAACATTATCTGTAGATGTCATCAGATGTTAATACGGCATACAACTTTAATAAATACATGAAAACAAAGTATCGAACAAACACAACATCTCTAAATTCAATTTATATTGCAAGAAAATTTTCTGGGAATCTGACAACTGATTAGGCAGTAGAATTAATGTTTTGGTCGCCATCTTGAAAATAAATCAACCAACAAATCTTTCCGAAACATGTTCTTTGTTGATTAAATATTCATTCAGTTTTAGCTGGAACAAATATTTCCTTCTTTTCTGTCAGTTTCAGTACCCGGGTGAGAAATCGCTTCGGGGTGAGAAATCGTGCCGTTACAACCCGCTGTCTCCCTGAGAACACCCCGACTTTCTCACTAGCTGAAATTTTAATCGGAAATTCATTCGAACCTGACAAATCCAAAACAGCCCCTTATTTTTACTCTTTGGACTCACAATACATCTTGTAAAAAGCAATTTTAACCACTGGTGGAATCTAATCCCTCCTGCCTCTTCCCAACCCTTCTCTGCCTCCTGTTAACTCTCACCAATCTCAAATTGACCAGGCTCAGGTACTGACAGTATAACATCATAACCCCTCCCCCTCCTTAAAACATATACATCCCTCATCAAATCCTGATCTAGTAATTATCAATGCACTAATATAATCCTATATAAAAACACAATGCAAAAACCCATCAACGCGACACACTTACCAACCATTTCGGACCATGGAGTCGTCTCCCAAATTTCATCAAAATATAAGGACATGATATAGCATAGGCGACTCCTCCCCAACCCGTGAGTGAAGGCAACTTCCCTCAGGCCGACAGAACACCGACTTCTGTCAGTGAGATGACACCCGTATGGGTGGAATCATGTAGGCGAACAACCCATCAACCAAACCATCAACCAAACCTGGACTGAACAGTGTGTACAATAGATGGTGGAGAGACAGGTCGCATCAGAATGGTTGGTTCCGTTTATGTTTCCGATCCGGACCACTGGAGATCCTATTACCAGAAAGTGTTGGAGGAAGATAACCCTAGGTCTCGAATTGAGGTAAATACTGACATGGGTGACGAAAATTCCGCTCGGGACGGTGAAGTTTGGTCAAGTTTCACCGGTAGCTGCTACTTTGGAAAGAACAAAATCAGAATGGAAACATCAAAAGGAATCCCGTGTTCCGATGATACAGAGAGGTCGTGGTATAATAAAGCGAAGATTAAGAAAAAAGAACAAAATAAAGAACGAAACCATGTATGACATATTCAAAATAAATAAAAGAAAGCCGAATAATTAGCTATACATGTATGATAGTGATGAGTTGGCTATAGCGCATACAGTAGCATAAACAGTAATGAGAGTTACAGCTGGTAGTAACTGTTCTCTATGGTGCATGTATATGTGTACAAAATGGGTGTCCCCTATTGGAAATCCCCATTGCCGATTTACCTACATTCACTGCGTCGCGAGTGATCAGCATGATACAATTATACAGGGTCTATATGTAAAATGGATCTATTCATCTTATGGATACGCGTATTACATGTATCTGATTTGTAGGAGAGTTAACTTTTCTAGAAAGGTCTCATTTCAAGACCCCGTTTTGTGGGAAAGGGCGTAAAACAGATCGTCCCGATGCCATACCACGGGTGGTACATGTAAATGTAATGTAAATATTGTCCATGTTAGGCTTTATATGTTGTACGGGTGGACGTGGGATGGGTCTCTGACCCGCGTCCATTCTATTGACGGAGACATTTAAATACGCTTGCATTGATATCATTTTTGCTATCTGTTATTAACACCTGTATTTAAAGTAACATATATGTCACTGACACCTGTATTAAAAGTAATATATGTTACTGACACATGTTTTTTAACTTACATCTGTTACTGACACTTGTATTTAAAGAAACATCTGTTACTGACACCTATATTTTAAGTAGCATCTGTAATTTATACCTGTATTTAACGAAGCATCTGTAACTGAGACCTGTATTTAAAGTAGCATGTATTACTAACCCTGTCCTTAAAGTAACATCTGCTACTGACTCGTGTTTTAAAACTTGCATCTGTTACTGACACTTGTAATCAAAGAAACATCTGTTACTGACATCTGTATTTTAAGCAGCGTCTGTAACTTATACCTGATTTTAAAGTAACATCTGCTACTGACACGTGTTTTTGAATTTACATCTGTTACTGACATATGTAGTTAAAGTAACAAATATTACTGACACCGTATTTAAAGTGACATCGGTTACTGACACTGTATTTAAAGAAACATCTATTATTGACACCTGTATTTAAATTAACATATGTTACTGACATCTGTATTAAAAGTAATACATGTAACTGACAGGTGTTTCTTAATTTACATCTGTTACTGATACCTGTATTTAAAGAAGCATCTGGAACTGAGACCTGTATTTAAAGTTGCATGCGTTACAAACACCTGTCTTTAAAGTATCATCTGCTACTGACACGTGTTTTAAAACTTACATCTGTTACTGACATCTGTATTTAAAATAACATATGTCACTGACACGTGCTTTTAAACTTACATCTGTTACTGATACATGTAGTTAAAGAAACATCTGTTACTGACACCTATATTTTAAGTAGCATCCGTAATTTATACATGTATTTAAAGTAACATCTGTAACTGAGACCTGCATTTAAAGTTACATATGCTACTGGTACCTGTATTTATAGTAACATATGTTACTGACTCCTGTATTTAAAGTAGCATATGTAACTCACACGTGTGTTTAAACTAACATCTGTTACTGAAACGTGTTATTAAAGTAACAGCAGTTACTGAGGAAAGTAACATAACATGTAACTGACACATGTATCTTAAGGTTCAACAAGCCCCCTAAAAGAGATAATAGTCACCCTAAATTTCAACCCTATGGCAAGTCATATTCAAATATTCTTATCACAAATCGGAATATATATATGTAATTTAAATACATTGAACTTGTACATGAGCTATTAAAAAGGTATATAAGCAGGTCAACGAAGTCAAAAATACGGCATTAAGGCTGATGCAATGATAAAAGTTGCTCACCAGAATTATAACATGTCAATCTCCTAAGTGACCCAACTGAATGTTTCGAAATTACATGTTATTTGAAGATCATTTATATACCTAGGTCAAGCGGGGCTTTATTTCTCTTTAACTATGTGTGGAGAGGCATACCGGCCTTACAAGTAGATGATTGTTGCTATGGGAATGTACAAAAATCATAGTAAAACGTCAGAGTAACATATTTTAACGGTATATATGTGTATATCCATAGACATTTGACCATATATACTACTTAAACTTCATATAAAATGTCCTTCCTTAACATTCAATATTGCAATAAAAGAGCTAGACTTGTTGTAAACATTATTGTACTTTTCAGCTTCAATGTTTATTACATGTCTAGCGCATTCATATAACCACATAATGTTATCAAATGGCACATCATCTCAAGTTCATTTATCGGTCAAGGTTACTTAGCCATTGTTTTCTTATTTAAAATTTGCTAAAATGAATTACCAGGAGATTTTATTATGATTTTAGTGATTTCGCATGGCAACATCTATCTTTATTTGTGGTCGAAATTCCTCTCAACAGTTAGTAGAAGAGAAATAAAGCTCCGCATAACCTAGGTATATAAATATACTTTAGATTATGAGTCATTTCCCAGCACTCAGTAGGGTTGCAAAAGAGATTGACATGTTATAAGTCCGGTGAACTATTTTTTATAAAGACATCAGCCTTAATGCCTTTTTTGACTACGTTAACCTGGCTATATATTTGTTGTATGGCCAATGTACAAGTTCAATATATATAAATAACATATGTGAGTTCCGATTTGTAATTGAGGTCTTTGAATATGACTTACCAGGGGGTTGGAATTTTAGTTGACTACATCATCTTTTAGGGAGCTTGTTGAACCTTAAGAAGCAAATGTTACTGAAACCTGTATTGAAAGTAACATATGTTACTGATACCTATATTCAAAGGAACATCTGCTAATATAACCTTAATCTAAATTAGCATTTGTAACTGACACCTGTCTTTAAAGTAACATTTGTTTCTGACACCGGTATCGAAAGAATCATCTAATACTGACACATGTGTTTAAAGTTACTTACACTGTTTAAAGTAACAGCAGTTACTGACGAGTGTATTTAACGTAACATGTAACTGACATTTGTATTTAAAGTAGCATATGTAACTGATACCTGTGTTTAAAGTAACGTCTGTTAATAATACCGGTATTTTAAACAGCACGTGTTACTAACACCTGTCTTAAAAAGTGAAATCCGTAAATGATACTTACACCTGTATTTAAGATAAAATATGTTGTGCACAATTGAAAATTATTCAGTAATTGACACCTGCATTACTGGTTGAATAGATTACTAGCGTACTGTATACTGGGACATTTTCGCTGCAGTTTAAGTGGGGTTTTTTTCGCCGTCCCTAATGAGGGCGAACTTATTATCACAATATTCAATATACTGTACATATAAGTAAACAGCATAATAAAAATAGTAATTAAATGTGTAGGGCTAAATTAACACTGGGCGAAAATGGATTTATGGGCGAAGGGCGAGGGCGAAGGCGAAGGGCGAAATTTTCCGGTATATGTATATCACGGATGTCATTATTTATTACAGGTATGAGGAAGAAAACGAAGCCAAAAATTGATGAAGGATCACACTACGATTCCACTGAAGAACCAGCTGACCAATCAAATACTGGTCAAGCTTCTCAGGCCATATCTGATCAGGATGATCCCACTTCCGGTCAGTCAATGTCTGGTCAGAACTCAGAATGTCATCCATCTACTTTACAACAGTTTGCTACTCAGATGATCGTCGATCAGCCGATGACCGAACAGGAAATGGCCAATTCACCAAGCTTTGTTCGGTCCCCAGTAGATCTGTCCTTAACTGATCGGATCAACCCATCCATATCTAATCAGTCAAGCAGGAAAAGGAAGGTCTCGTCAGCAGCCGGTTCCGCAGAGCAGGAAAGACAAAATGGAAAAGAGGCCAGGACAGCATCAGCATCCACCATGCATCCAAGTGGATCCTCATCATCACATGGTGAAGGAAATGCACCAATATCCAGTAGTACCGAGACAACACCACAAAGTAAAGGTAAGAGTACACTGTTAAGGCAGGTCAGTTTTGCAAGATTTATGAAATTTATTTCTTCGTGTCTTTACAGGTTTACATTCTGTTATCTAGAGATGTGAAATTATCTTTGATTATAACTGTAGTGAAAATCCTCTAATCTGATTGGTGGAGACGAATTGTTCATTTCAGACTGTCAATTTTGCTTTAACATTGAGTCAATAAAAAGGCGCTTCCCAACGCCCTAGCAACGAGTGGCAGTGGATATGTAACAGTGCAAAATACTGACAGCGCAAAGAAGATGCGTGTTCGGTTCGTTTCAGCCGCTATGATTTTGTCGTAATACTAAAATTAATTAACCTCGGGTGACAGTGATACCCTCAGTGTGACCCTAGGCACTGTCACACTCTAATGAATGTCGGATTTATAAAATATTGGCGTCGATGTCAAAATTTAAACAAACATCCTGATGTATCATAACCGGTTTATACATGTACTACTTAACTGATTTCAGTTTATACCTAACTTAGAACACATTTCATCGTTCAGTACAAAAGTTACAAAGCATCTAATATTTTACAGAATCGTACTTGCCAGCTTCTAGACCGTTTGAGAGCCTATTTATATGCTTGGTATTAGCGATACCGTTATGGCAGTATTATTGGGACATTGCAGTTCATATAACAGATATTCATTTTTTTTTCGATCAAGTGCATGACCCATCCCAGCAAAAATAACCGGCTTAATGATACATTCGCCATTAAATAGTGGAATTTAGCATTAACGTAGAGTAATAGCTAGGTTGTCACCTTCGAATTTCTTTTTACACAAGTTCCTAAGGGTATTTCGATCCTCAACAAAGGTATTTTCAAGACAGATTTGGCATTTATATTTCTATTTTTCGATCACGTTACAAAATAAGTGATCATTAATTAACAAACTAGAATATCACTTGAGATGGGGTTGTGGAGGGTACATGTATAAGTGGTTAAGACTTGTAAAATGAAAGGTTTTGTAATTAGATACTTTTGTTTTTTCCAGCCATAAGTTCGGAAGAACAAGAGCACGAGGTACGCAAGCATAAGATAGGCCTCCGAGGAGTGATGATTAAGGACAAAGTGGATTTGGTAGTGACGCATAAGCGGGATATGAGTGAGCGTCTGGCAAACGAAAACATTCAAATATTGAAGGGAAACCAACAAAACCTTGATAAGGTTGACAATGATTCGCAGTACCTTCCTACCCTGAAACAAGTGTCTTTCAAACCAGAACCTATCAGCAAACTGGATGTTGTCCCGTTGTTTGGAGACTTAAATGATGGTACTTCCCCTCCGACACAAGGTCATTCAACATTTGGTATTGGAAAGGGGTTTAAATCCTTAGATATGCCCCGTCAATCTAAAGGTCAACCAACGTATGGAATTGGAAAGGGGTCCAAATCTTTAGAAATGACCCATCAATCTAAAGGTGTTTCAATATGTGATATTGGAAAAGATTCAAAATCATTTGAAAACCTAGAGCTTTCAGCTGATGCCATGGAGGGGCTATCAGCTGATAAACAAAGTGACATTGATTTGCCTGGATGGGAGCTACCACAGGAAATAATTGATGAATTTCTACGTTTCTTTAATTTTCCACAAGGTGTCATTGCTACATTTCGGTATTCATTTGACACGTGTTTTAAGATGTATCCACACTCAATACCGAATCAATGCTGGATGATCGGTTACCAAGACCAAGTTATCAGACTTGTTGATAAAGATGGAAGTGTAATCGAAGCAATTGACATAAAGATCGGACCTTTTGGTATCACAATGATAGGAACTAACACACTTCTAGTTAGTGATGTTAACAAATGGATCAGCCAGATCGTACTACCTAACAATACTATGTCTCCGGCATTCTCTACACCATTTATACCGGAGGATATTTGTGTCACCTCTACAGGGGAACTTCTGGTTACCATGGCAGATACATACAATGAAAACATCAAGCCTCAGCAAAGTTGTGTTGTAAAGTACACCACAAAAGGACGGGAGGTAAAGAGGTCCCCAATGTGTGACCAGTTTGGTGACAGACTGTTTGTGTGGCCATTTAAAGTGAGTGTAAACCATGGAGGTGACAGAGTGGCTGTTGTCAATATCACCAGTGTGAAACAAAGGGTACATGATCTATCACATCTTGTTATGTTGGACGGAGATCTTGACCTTGTTGCCCGATACACATACCATGGACAGGTTGTACCAAGGGACACAAAATACAATGTATCATCAAAGCCTTTTCGCATTACTGGTGTTCAATTTGACAAATGTAACAATGTTTTGATAACAGAGCACTACAGTAGTTCTGTACAACTGTTAGATAGTGACTGTAGACGTCTCCGAATCCTGCTGAGTTGTGAGAATGAAATACCTGCAGAACTGCATGTAGATGTGGACGGAGACGTGTGGATATGTTACGAAGACAATTGTGTGAAAATATTAAGGTACCAGTAACATGAACCGGGACCGTTGTTGTGACAATACAGAGATATCGACACATCTGAGCAAGTACACTCCATGTCCACGGAGTAGGGGACAGGACCATAACATTATTTAGTTACAGAACATTGATTATTTTTGTCATTTTTGTCATTGTCTTTTATTGGATAAATAATCTGTCATATCAGTTAAATTAATGTATGCCTCAGAATATCACTGCAGATTTGTTTCCATTCAAATCAACTTATATATGTTCACTGCTCAAGGCAAATACACTGATGTTTTTTTTAGAGGACGTACAAGTTACTCACAGGTACGCTTATTCGTGGTTATTATATCAGAAATTGAGGTTTGCTGATGAAGTATGACTTTCAAAATTGTTCACTATTTTTAATTAACACTGTATGAATATTGACTGATAGTAGGTTGTATCTACTGTATATTTGTTATGTGGCAGTCTTAGTAATAATTGTATACATTTTTTATGTATGTGATTACCGTCGCCTTTTAGTTTCGCGCTAAAGGAAATTTCCCTTTGGTTCAATCAGTACAGCAGTGGACTTAAAACCTGTAGATCGCTGGGTCGATCGTCGGTGAAAACACATGTTCCTCTTTTTTCTTACATATGGTGATATTGTCCGTGGCCCTCCCTATGGTGAAAGGGAGTTAGAACCCTGAATTGTTGAGGATGAGCCCTTTTAAAAGGTGGGATTAGTGTGAAAGGTTTTGATTGTATCTTTAAAGTCACCTTCTAGCTTCGTGCTAGGGATAATTTCCCTTTATATCTTACACTGGACAGAAGTATTAACACTTTTCCCGATGTGACTCTAGGGTTAAAACGGGGGGATTCCCCTATTCAAAATAATTGTATGACGTCACGTCAACCATGCATCAACTTAACGTCAACGATGTATTTATTCTGTAACGTTAACATTACATTATGTATATGATACATATTGGGTGAACAGGGTCAAAGAAAAAGAATAATTCACCCCCTTGAGGTGAGATTGGGAGTCTCAACCGTCGAGGGAAGATTCTGAAGTTGCAAATCACTCGGCAAAGCCTCGTGTTTGGCAACTTAATAATCTTCCCCTTATAGGGGATGAGAGATTCTATTAATCTCTATCGGTACAGCGGGGCCCTGGAAACCTGGTGATCGCTGGTTCCATTCCTGATGGAAGTAACCTACTGTCTTGACCAGTAGCATGCTTGGATAGATTAGTGTAAAGTTTCATTTTGTCTGAAACATTCTGAAGCCAAGGATACTCAATAAATGGAAACATATGCAAAAGTACTTTTATTAAGAATATTTTCCGATATTTTCCTTACAACATAACCTAACACCGTACGTTTTACTCCTTGCCATACGCATGAGGTCAAAAGTACAGACACAACTTATGTACATTAGAAATACTTCACGGACATTTTATATGTTGTGAAAACTTATTAAAAGGATTTGTACATTTGTATTTTAAATATATCAAGTTACGACCCAAGGGAGATAACTCTGTTACTCTTGTAGGCAAGAGCTTGACTCTTCACAGATATATTATGTAAAGCATATAGTTGATCCATTTATAATTATATTTATGTAGTTCGGGAATGGTTTCTATTTAACTAAGGTCTCGAGAAACCTTGTCTCCTAATTCTATATGAAACTTACAATTAATCAGGTTTAATTTCAAACAAAATATTCAATTCTATTAGAATCTACATATTAAATGAAATGAGCTGGCGTGTTTATGTATTTAAAAATGTAAATATTTTTTTCTCTAGTAGATATTATATAGCCATTCAAAACATTGTCAACGTATCAGAATATGTATCAACCAGTTACCTATTATATGTGTAAGAAATTAATGGAAATTGTCAAAAAAAAAAATCGTTAATATTTTGCCCCTGATGTGAACATTATTAGATATAATAAAACCGTCATATATATCTAACATTGACGTAAACAACCATTTTGACGTCACACAAAACAATGAGATGACGTCAAGAATTAACGATGAAATGCCAATATGGCAGCGATTTTCTTTTTTATTTTGGGTAAACGTGGGGCGGACAAAACATATAATTTCTCATACTTATGTCAATCATATATGTATGAAAGAAATACTTTCAAAACAATTTCCATTCTTTTCGACATTTGCGGTATTCGTTGAATTTACAGTAAACACATATATATATACAAAATGTGTTTGAATTAACAGTATATATTTATCGCGTGCTAGCATTCGACCATCCTCGATATCCAGTGGTTACGCTCACTTGAGCTCTCTGCAACCCTGAAGTATGTCATAGCAAAATTGAAGGCTCAGTGTACACCAACTTGTGGACGAGACAAGAAGACTAGGTCGACCCTTTGATGTTCTTCAAAAGAATCTCGCGGTCACGTAACGGTAAAATTTGACAGGCTTTGAAGTCGGGTGTCGCTCCTTTGTCATATTCAAAGAACATATCAGCCTGGCGATTGGTCAGAATTTTTTACCCGAGACCAGTCAAACAGCTATCTCCGTGCCGTCAATTTTGCTATGACATATCCCAGGGGTGCAGAGAGCGTAAGTGAGCGTAACCCCTGGATATCGAGGATGGCATTCGGCGAGATCGTACACAGCAGTACGGAAGTAATTTTTGTATTTATAATAATCCTTTTTGCTTCCACATATAATGGATATTGTAGGGTCGGTAAAAGTGTTTATTTTGTCAAATTATCTGGGATTTTTTTTTCTAAATTTTGACTTTGTATTTGTAGACGTCATGCTTTATTATTTGTTTTATTTTCATTTGTTTTTCAGTGTGACTTTCAGGAATGTGTATTTGACAGATTGATTGACTTTAAAGTGCCTTAAGTCCTGAATTTTAATATGAATTCACAACATTATTTGAAACACATAAATTGGAAAAACTGCTGTACACAAATCTCCCATGCTACTTTTTTTTCTAGTTCAATAATTGTTGAAAATCTGTTTGGTTTTATCAGTGCTAAATACAGAATGATTTAGGTATGGATGAGGAACAAAGGGGAACGTTATTGCAGGTTTCCTCACGGGAATAATAGAGAACAAATTACGATATTGTTTTCTAAATTGTATTGATAGATAAGATGACACAACAAGTTAAGCTTGGATTAGATGTTTAACGTCATGTTATACTAGGGGGGTAACAATACGTTTAAAGTGTATCACAATTTATCACAATACAAAATGGATATACACTGCGTCACGAAACCCGATATATTGTCATAGGGCAAAAGATGTTTAATCAAAAGTGAAATTCTTGTCAAAATGTTGTAATATTTAATTACTTCACTTTAAACATATTTATTGCCAATAAAATTGAACAAGGGATTAGGCACGAGTTATTACAACTTAGCAAAGCCTTCTCCTGTCCCAATTACATGTCAACAATGATAATAGGCATAAACATGAAGTAGATATATATATATAATATTCACACAGGTACAAATATACAACTTTAAAAGCACCGTTCAAAATATTTTGCTGGATTTGATGAAGTGATGCATATGTCTTAAAACGTAAGAGTTAAGGTCTACCGAAAGATCTGGATTGCCAAACAAAAGAATCTCTAAATTTAATTCATATATAACATATGGATCACACAGATTTACAACTATCTGCTATGAAATTTCAGCTGCTTCCTACGTTAAGTATATATGTTAGAATATGTAGTATTTAGAAAAGTTTAAACACCAAGCAGATGCATAAAATAAGCTTTAAAAAATATTGCGATATAGCGATATTTCATCTCTGAATTATGTTACGATATGATATGACTGTGTATTGCAGTATACCGGTTTTCCGATATATATTGTGACCGTCTTGAGAAATACTTACAGGAACATTTTCTTAATAAAGATAATAAAAGCTACACTGATTGACTGCACTGCCTTTGCTTATAATTTTATATTGTGACGTCATAATGATACAAATTTCGTGACGTCATTGTTCTTACCTACGGTGGTCTCAATATAGATCAACCGGTATCGGTATCACACTAAATACTTATAGTACATATAGCATAAGGTACCATTGCATCAGTTTTTGCCAAAAACAGTTACACCAAGAGTGATTTGAAAAGGAATGTTTACCATTCTATACAAAATGCAATCGGGAATCGTCGGTACTTTCCGCATTTTCTCGTTTACGGAAAGTGCCGAGGATTCCCGATTGAACAAAAGAGAAGTTTTTTTCTGGCGTAGAGTAACCTTTCCTATCAGGTTATTTTGATGCATTGGTAATTTCTTAGAGACTACAGGCTCTGCCATGTAATGGCTGTGAGTTCAAACCTTGCAGATTTTCTGTGTTCGTTTCTTTTAGTTAGAAATGTTCTTCATTAAATTTTGAACAACCATAATTCTGTAAGATGCATCACATCATTTGATTTTTATGGAATATTCTTTTGAAAAGGGCCAAACAAATATTTCACAATAGCCAAAATGGTAACAATATAATGAAACTTGTTAGTACCATTTACCTTCAAAAGTTTAGGACTTTTTTGTGGCCGTAGAAACGATTAAAAACTGTCAAACAAAGAGACAAAAACGAAACGGTGATCATTGAAAAATAGCACACATAATAAACATTCATACCAAGGTTCACCGAACAATTTAATCAGATATCTTTCTGAAAACAACAATGAAGATTTTTGGTCAACATCACGAACGAAACGAATATTATCCGACAATAGAAGGACAAAAACCTACATAAATGTGTAGACAAAGCAAGCTGGATGTTTTCATTGTACTTTAAAGCGTGGCCGTGTACGAAAATACATTAATCAGTGTTATTGCACATGAGATAATAATATTCCCAAAGCACAGCTTATAAGTAATATATACACGGACAGTTGATATATTACTGCGCCTTGAACAAGTCCTTTGGATTCAACACTAAAATCCATATATCCCTTTTCACCGATAACAGTTCGCATTACGAAGTAGTTCCATTGACTATTGTTCTGTTCGGAAACAAAGCTAAGCGGTCTGTTCGTAAACCACAAGTTCTTGTCAACGTCTATAGTTAAAGAAGGAATCCAGTTCAATTCTTCTTCATTGACCACAAGAGATTGCGAAGAGTAGGTTACGTTGCTAGGCAACGGTAGACTGACATCGACAGTGTCTGCCAAAGACCATTTGTAAATAGCACGAGGAGCGCCATAGAAGAGGTTATTCTTCTGGCTGCAGTACATTCCTTCGCCAAGAGAACGTTTATTTCCAACTTTCTGAGTATTAAAAGCAAAATCTACGCTGTCATGTTTAAAGTCTCGCAGCACGGATGTAGGGATTCTGAACATGCGCAGTCCAGCCAAAGCCGTGTAATACACAAAGTTGAAATCTGGTGAGATGGCGATTCCCCTTATGCCTAAATACCTTATAGTTTCTGTCTTATTATAAATTGTAATATTAGAAAATCCAGATTCGGGATCCATCGAGGGGTGAACGAAAGAATAAGAGAAGTTCATTTTGTGGTCATAGACGATCAATTTCCAGTCATACATATCTGTTATGTACGCATGCGTGACCTCGTGATCGGTGAAATCCAAGACAATATCACTGAGATAAAATGTTCCATATCCCACAACGAGACCAGGAAAAACGTGTTCATGCAACACTTTATTGGTATTCAAATCAAATATCACAAGCTTTGCGGGACATTTAACTTCGCCTTCCGGTCTGACCGAGTCATCTGGGTAATACCCGGTATCCACTATCCACATCCATCCCGTATTGGGATCAATCTCTAACGCATTAACGAACCGGAAGTGATCACAAGAGGTCCCTTGGTTTATTTCCCAATTGGGGAACGGTCGCAGAAGTGGCGAATCTGTGTCGTTCTGTTTAACTACAACATTCAATGTAGAGGGAACGCCTTTGCGCAGGCGCGGAACCGTAACGTAAACACTTCCGTTGAATACTCGAATGTTACCTAACCGGTTGTTGTGCTGAATATAGGAACCGTTGTCTACAAATTGGCTCCTTGTTTCCGCATCCGGCCACTCATAATCCAAGAATTGCCACCGGTATATGACATCAGTGTCGTAAGAATGTTTAGCACTGTGACATAATTGTACGCTGAATAAAACGCACAAAAGACTGCACATCAGAGACGGCCCCATTTTGACAAATATTCACGACTCACGTACAGGCTTAAAGTGTTCTCCCAAAATGACAAACAATATTTCTTTGTCAAAATAATATGTTTCAAGACTTAGCAGCTTTAGAAAGTATTCCTTGCGTTACCGAGAACCTAATATATCAATACTTGCTTTTCATGTGCATTTCTATTGATAACAATGTTTTTGAAAAAACAAATATTCGTGTTATTATTGTAGCTCTTCTGTAACTTGTTATAAAAGCGATATGTGACATGCAAATAATAGGAATTTGAACCTTAAAGATCAACCGGTATTAGACATTCAGTCAATAACAAGATCCGAACAGTTCTGAACAGAAGCCGCTTACGAGTTCAGTATCAGATTTTAATTAATCTGCGCGTTCTGATGCACGTAGATCAACTTTTGTCTTAACCTATATTTCTATATATGCACAGTCTTCTTGGTGATTATTTATCGACTGCTTTCTACTTTGACTTGTCTTAACCTATATTTCTATATACACGTATACGTGCAATCTTCTTTGTGATTAATTATCGACTACATTTTACTTTGATGTTCAATTTCAAGACGTTTTTGCTCTGCACATATGCGTGACCCGTCCGCAAATTTAATTTCCGGTTCAAAATCTGTCCGGAATACCAATAAGATTAAAATTTCATTGAATGTTCTCATGCATAAAAAAAATTCTATGTTTATTATTTACATTAAAACTCCGTGCCACGGCCTCGGCGTGCAAAACATCACATGGGTTCAATATCAGTTTTTAAGTCGAGCCGAACGTTGTTTTCTTACTCGAAGTAGACAATATTGTTTGAACGAAACATGCGAAAAATTTCGAATACTTGGGTTACCTCGTCGTTTTCGTCAGAATCTTACAAAAAGGGTTTAAAATATTAGTTGTTGCAAGTTTTTATCACATATATTGGCTTTGGTTTGCTCTTTTTTCTCCTTTTTTTTGTGAACTTCGTGAAATTGAGAACCGAAATTGTTAAATTAAACCTCGAGCATTGATGTATTTTGCGGATTTTGAGTGAACTTCGTTATATCGAGAATAAAATTGTAAGATCTATTTAGAACAAAAAAATGGTTGAAATGTAATCTCTAAGATTCGGCTGTTTCCAAGATTTTGTGAACTCGTTATATCGAAAATCTTATTGCACGTTTTATCACACAAAATGGTTCATATTAAATCTCGAACATTCGGTTATCTCAATGTATTTGTGTGAACTTCGTTATATCGATAACCAAATTGTATGATTGATCACACAAAATAGTTTAAATTAAGTCTCAAACATTCAACTGTTTCGAGTTTTTGCATGGACTTTGTTAAATAGAGATTCTTACAAGCTTTTTTTTAATAAAAATCAACCTTTCTACTTCTGCTACTTAGATAGAGATTGGAATGTGCGCCTTTAAAACAAAATACAAGTCTATCAACACACTCTAGACGTACCGTGTTATGGATAATTGAGATTAATATTTTGACCAAAATATCTCAATTTGCTATCTTATTCATCTTCATGTCATACACAATAAAAACATTTAAAACATTTTTTAAAGAAAAGTGGTAATTTAACTATGGCCACTTTTGTTATCGGTTAAGTTCCCTCACATCTTGTGTTTCAGGTTCGCATGCCTACCGCCAAGCTTTTAATAATCCGATATCCAAATCCGCGAATTCCTCGAGTCTCAAAACACATAATGTTGACAAACAAACTTCGTCACAGGTAAACACTTATACACGCCAGATATCCCCAGTTAATTTGCATAACTAGCTCAGTCGTTCGATGGAGCGTGGTATTTGTGTTTGTGTGTGTGTGTTATTTACGGATTTCTAATTCACAAACCGGTCCTTAGATTCCATAAGCAGTACGTATCTAATTTCCTCAACCGGAATGACGTAACACGAAATATCCATTGTTGTTGAAATCTTGATCACACCATCCACGTTTTTTTCCCACGACGTTCAATTCGTTGTTTTCCCCTGTAAAATCTCAATAATGTGTTCAGTCCCCAAGACGATCCTTAGGTATAATGTAGCTACCGTCTTAAATCGTCACGGACAACATCCCTTCACACAAAATGACCTCGCACGAAATGTTCACAAAATGTCCGTCTATGAGGCTATAAGCCCAATCAGTACCATCAGATTCTTCACAAGTTTCGATCTACTAATCAAGATGAAGTCATGTTGCCATTGAAGTGCTTCAAATTCAACGACGAAATTCCACATTTCCTGGGTGGGAAAAAAGCAAACTTCAGCTTCTAGCGTATACCGGTATATACACGGTTACTTATATGTACACAAATGCACATAATAGTCAGATGTGATCCATACGAACTTACATATATACTGATATATGTATATATATATATACCTGTATATATATATAGATTTCGTTCTGTATGTCTGATGAATGTGTGCACAGCCAGGTAAAAGCGCGTGCCGTCACGCAGGTAGGTGTACGTTATTTACAGGTTCTTTTCGTTAAGTCCCAAGTCAAACAGGAAAGGATGAATGTTCGCACTAAGGGTTTTAAATCCTCAGAGCTGAGGTGGTGACGCATAAGTAATGCCTATATATGTGTCTATCCCACTTCAAAAGTACAAAGGTCACGACAACTTACATATTTGTATATTAAACAATCACAACTCCACAAATCTTCTCAGCGTTGAGATTCTCTCCGGGATCCTTATTCATAACAATACAAATCCGCTGAGGTTTTGTTAAAAAAACATGTCAGTAGATTTCTTTGGGAAAAGTCCTAAGTGTTTCACGTGTTGTTGAATACACTTATGTTATCAAGTTCGTCAATACCAAACTGTTTGGTGAACAATATTACGTGCATATTCTCTTAATAAACATCTTTCTCTGCTCATATTTTCCGCCCCAAGCGTTTACAATTCAAAGGATGCGTATATAATTATATAGGAGTCAATACGGGCCTTGGTCTCAATATACTTTAGTGGCCGAACGGTACTTCCCATAGCGGCTTTTTGACCGAATGACACTTCTTCATGTAAAATGTCGTCCCTCAGAATTGATAAAAAAAAATGAAGTCTCACAGAAAATCCTGTCCAAAATGCAAAAGTCTTAAATCCACCAATTATTTGGGTTGGGTGTGTATGCCCTCCAGATTTCTTTAGATTTCTTATCCTTACAAACTAATCAGCACAGGTGTCTGTACAACCTCGTCCAATCCCAGTGTGCTTTTTGTCCGCTATTAACACATGTCGGTGTTGAGACATCCGGTTTATACACTGTCAATATTTGCTTTTTGTACCTACCGTCTAACTCGTATGAATACACGCACAACAATTAAGGTACTTGAGCAAACGATATGTAAACTTGTCACGAATGAAACACACAGAGCCTTTATATCCAAGTAAATTGCATAAATATTTTCAGTGGTCGCGAAATCTTTCTTATAAAAATTCCTGAGTTTTCGGGGATCTGTCAACCTATTCATCTGTCAATATCAAACTGTCTTCTAAGCCATTAGTCAAGATATACTGAGCGCGGGATCACCTATCGACATATTTTAACAATAAACAAGTTTTATTTATCATTAACCCGCTACCCAGGGCCTGTCGTTGCCTGTTACCTGGATCATGTTGCCCCGTGACACACAGGGAACCCTTACTGATACACCTTTAAATGTTAATCAACCTCAGGATCAGGTAAAACCCAGGTGAGCAATTTAAATGTCTCAGGTGAAAATGGTTTCTCCATCTCGATAGTGTTCGAGAGCGCTTGTATTCTCTGTACAAAGTTACATACAAACACACACACACATAGTGTACATATATTCTGTGTACACACGTGCGCCGTCAAGTGATTCAAAGCCACAGGAGCATGGCACAGATCCCTACTACATGTACAAGGTCCATATTTGTACCGAGTACATAACACACACGTACGGATCGTGGGTTGGGACTCTGCGCCACGCCCCGGTGGTTCAAAGTGAGCGTATTTGTGTTTAAAGATCAAGAGCAGTACAGGAAATGTATACGAAACACAAACAACATTAAGTTGCCTGGGAATTTAAATACATTTTAACCATGTGGCACTAAAATTGTGTTAAGTTCATTCGTTTGAACAAACTCAATGACACTTTAAAATGTCTGACATTCTGCTACCACTATTCCTCCACCACTGGGTCGCGGGTTCGAGACCTACGTGGAACAGTCGCCAGGTACTGGACGTAGGTCGGTGGTTTTTCCCCTGGAACTCCGACTTTCTTCCTCCACTACCAAAACCTGAAACGTCCTTAAATGACCATAGCTGTTAAAAGGACGTAACCCCCCCCCCATTTACCCCCACCAAGATCACAGAAAAACTATCATCACTAATGTTTGTTAACGTATTTCAAAGCAATTGATCCGTGTGACCTTGCAGGTGGCTCAATGAATGTCATTTATTCGAACAAACTTCATAGTATTTTATACTTTCTTCGTGCTACAGGTGAAATATGAAATATTTTCATCCAGTTTGTGCTGTTTATAAAGACCTTGACACATTGACCCCCGTGACCTTGCAAGTGATACAAGGTCATTTATTTGAATCAACTTGATAGCCTTTTATCCAGGCATGCTATTGGGTAAATAGCATCACCTAAGGTCTTTCGGTTTATCCAGAACAGGTCGTTTAAATATTGTTAATGTATTTTACCCCTGTGACCTTGCACTAAAGAGGGACAACGTCATTTATTGAACAAAGATTAATAGCCTTTCAATCCAGCTTGCTTAATGTCAAATATTATGATCCTAAAAGAAGCCAAATCTATACACAAATATTTCAAGATAGTGACAATGGTAAGATTATGATTTAACATAGTGGTTCCCTTTAACTTTAAAATAATATATACGTTAATCTGATATCCTTAGTTGTGATTTGTTCGGTATTAGTTAACTAATTTGATCATTATTGATGTAATAAAATGGGTAATTAATGCATGTTATGTTTGGGCTAATTATAAAATTATATGTGTTTCTGTTTTAACAATTTATGGTGGACGGGCGGGTCAGTGGATAGCGCACTTGCCTTTCCCCAAGGATGCCGGAGTTCGATTTCTCGATTCGACGTGAACAGATATGGGGGCACCTGCCCGACTACGTGGATGTTCTTCGGGTACTCCGGTTTCCTCCCTCAAAAAAATCTCTGCGCGCTAACACCCGTGTCAACAAGATTGATAAGTATAAGTTGTAAATACTTGTTTTATAATTGTTGTAAAATAGATAAAGTTTATATTATATTTTATAACAACTTAGGGTAGGTCGGTAGGTAAGAATTTTTACATCGACTGTCGGCGTTTCAATACGGTCAAAAAATATGCATGTTTCAGGTACCCCAACCGACCCTTGTTTTACCTCCGACTCTAACAATTTTATCTTTCTCACTCGAACGCACTCCATCCAGTTTTGGGTGTGGGATGACTTTTCCATCGGATGCAAACAAGTTAATGAACAAACAAACAAGGCAACTATAAATATACCTTCTTACCTTCATGGGCAAATATCAAAACCAAATCTTAATTACATTATTATTAAAAAACCTAAAATATGTTTGGTCATTTTTGTGATATCTGAAGTAAGCCCCCAACNAAAAAAAAAAAAAAAAAAAAAAAAAAAAAAAAAAAAAACGACCGTCCTACCCTAATTTTCATGTTACCTGCTACCAAACTGTTATTGTTTTTGCCTAAGCATGTTTGGGACATTTTCGTTCATTGACGGCAGAGGCTGTGTATAGTGATTTGAGTCTAGAGGAAAAAACTGCAGCAAAACTGTAAACTCCTAATTTCTTTGACTTTAGAGAACAAAGTCGATCTAGTTTGGTGTGGGTGAATTTTTGAACATGTTGTTTTTACTACAGCTCACGGTTCAGTTCGGTGCATGTACCGTATAAAGCACAGGGGCAAGACACATGCTAACCCCCGTCCCTTTATGCTTGTATATAGTGACACTATAAATGTTTATAAGGGGTGGGGCTTAGTCTGTGCCTTGCCCATATGAAACATGTATATAATGGATCTGAATAATCAAGACATCAAAGAATACATTAACACGGATCTTGCCAGAGTCAATATACGGGACACGTTAATTTTTAAAACATTCGTTGTTGACGTTATTTACATATCATAATACATAACATCCAAGTTGTAATTTCTATAATGACACAGCTTATCTTTCAGCAGTACAAAACTTCCCACATGACATTAACGTTAACGCATGCTTTACACTGTGATATCGACGCCGCCCCTCCCCTCCAACCTCCCCGTAATTTTAATAGCGCAAAGTTCTAAACTGGGGTGATAAGCATTTGAATATAGTGTGAGTTTGTTTTAAATGCTTTACAATACCGTTCAACCTTTTTGAGCATTTGTTATAGAAACTAACTGTCATTTGTAATTACAAATATGAACTTATTTATAAAAAAATATGACTATGACTAATTCAAGAATTATTAGCAAATTTTTGTAGCTAAATTGAAGTTTGACGGAAAAAAACACCAAGATAGTCACGAGAAACCATGTATAATAACGCATACATCTACATCTGCAATATCATTACCCTTATTGTCAGCAAAACTGCTTTCCTCAAAACATAACTAAAATTGCAACCAAGTTAGAACACATTCTCTACCCAAGGTTGTCGTTCCTCACACTCATTTACGTACACTTTGTCCCCCGACAGCTATTGGCAGGCATTGGGTACACAACAACAAAGGCGACCGGCAAAAATATACAGATATATACGATCTTGCTACTGTGTTATAAACAGAGATCGGGTATTGTGGGTCAGGTGACAAACTTAATTCGCACGAAACAGTTAATTATGCAAATTATACCATGTTTTATCAATGTGTATGACAATTGTAAAATATACTAACAGCACCATTCATCAAGACGGCCCGGGTTCGATTCTCCGATCGAATGTTAAAAGGCACTGGGCCACCTACACGCGGGTTTTCTCCCGGTGCTCCGGTTTCCTGCCACATTAAGAGTACGGTATGTTTCCTCAGTCCCGATTCACTGGATAAACCTGGTAGGAAATGGTAACATTGTTGGTTACCCCCTTTTACAAAACAACGATAGGAATGGTTGTTAGCATTTTGGTTTATTTACAAAATATGTGTATATTTATAATAGAAAGAAACTAAAATGTTGAGTTATAATGACATATTGATTATCAAGTTACAAAGAGTAAGAATCCGGTTTTGTTTGCAAACTAAATTATCCAAAGTAGCAGAAGATCCGGTGAACGTATCTATTTATCTATTTGTTTGTATAATGCGCAGATGATTCAAAAGGATAGTGTCCGTATGACGTCATAGCCTCAATTTGTTACTCAAAAGCTTTACATTGTCATACAAGTAACATATGGTATTACAAATTCTTAGAAGATAAAAAAATGTTATACATGAAAATTGTAACAAAATACATACATGATGTCACGGTTATTGATTCGAAATGAGGTGCGCAATAAAGAAAGATGACGTCATGGCAACATTACACACTTGAATAAGCGATGTTCTTCCGAGGCCAACAATATGCGATAAGTATGCAAGTAGAAGACAAATTGTTGATTTAAATGCTGTTTACACGATTTTTTTAGACGATCACGTCACATAAACGCACTGATGAAGCAGGAAGCGACGCCGACTAGAAGGCAGACAACTGACGACGTGAGGTCGGCCGACCCTTGCGTCGGAGCAATCAATGTTAGACCAGTGATGTTCAAATAACTGGAGTCGTCGACGAACATTCGCCAAACGTAAAAGTTCCAGGAACCGTCTTCCGTGGAATTTCCGAAAAATGTGTGGAGGTTATTGGAAGTGAACCAGAGATCTCCCTCCTCGTCAATAGCCAGAGAGTCGACCCATTCCATCCGGGCATCTTCTGAGACAATCGTTTGTGTCATCATTTCTACGTTAGACGAATCTTTGCCTTGAGTGTCCATGTCCGACAGAATTGGCCATTTGTAAACTGCGTTCCTGCCAAGGGTCGAGAAATACAGGTTGTGACCCTTACCATAAAACATGCCGTCCCCTTGAGTGACCTTGTCGCCGACTTTGCGCACGTAGCGACTAAAATCGTCGTCGGTGGCGAAGCTGTCGCGCAGGACGGCAGTCGACACCTGATACAGGCTCAAACCGGCTACGGAACTAAAGTAAACATAACGGAAGTCAGAAGATATGGCGATTCCGTTAATTCCAAGGGGAGTTACCGTTGTAGAACTGTTTGAAATAGTCACCGTTGCATAGTCTGGATTTGGTTGCATGGACGCATGAACAAAAACATAAGCTTTATCCAACTTCCGGTCATACACAACCAACTTCCGCCCAAGGGTGTCAGAAATGTAGGCAAATCGCGCCGTACCGTCGGCACCGTAGTCCAAAACTATATCGTTGAGATAAAACATACCGACACCAACTTTGGTTTTGTCGAAAATGTATCGATGTATTTCTTCGTCATTGTTTATGTCGTATATTACCAGTTTGGGTGGACAACGGTCAATTGGAGCGACGTCGACTGGTCCAACAGTTACCAAACCAGTGTCCAGTATCCACATGTAGCCGGTGTTTGGGTCGATCTCCATACTTTGGACAAGGTAGAGGGCGTCACAGTCGTGCTTCCGGTGCATGTACCAACTCGGGTACGGACGGAGGACGGGAGAATCACTTCCGGTGTTGATGACGACATTAAGGGTCGCTGGGATGCCTTTCTTGAGCCTCGGTATGGTCAGATACACCGTTTTGTTATAAACCTTTATACCGTTGATAGCATTGTTTTCTGGAATGTAATCTTCCTCGGCAATGTATTGCTGTTTCATTGTATCGTTCGGCCACACAAATTCAAGCTTCACCCATTTATAGACCAAAGTTGGCTGAGTATCTCCGTTCGTATTTCCATGCACAAAAACTAAGCACGTGAAAAATATGCACGCGTAAAACACTTTAATCCTCTCAGCAGACATTGTATAACAGTCGGTACCTAAACAGCTATCAGAATTTGTTCTGATGTATCGATGCTCTTTCAATGACTCCTTTCGGTTCTAAAGCATACGTTTGCGTTGAAACAGACGATGTCCATCGGATGTGACAATGTTTCATTCAATGTATGTATAGTCACGTTCAAAAACAAGTTGATAATTCACAACGTATTATTAAACCCACTAGAAAACACCTGTTCAGCAGAACAAACAGATAGCAGCCATTACTATAATCACGTCGGCACAAAAGCGCTGCTGGCCGGTCTGATGTGTTTACAAAAATACCACACAGACTAACGATTGCGGTATCTATAAACGTACGTTCCTCTTGTCGCATGTATAGGTGTATATATCCGCACGTGCGTTCAGATACAACACTGCTGAAACATAAATATGACAGCGGAGCACAGCATACATCCAACACCAGTGTCTTTTTGTCTAGAAAGAAAAAAAATCGTCTGGGTATTAGCGTGTGTAATTTGAACCTCTCCAAAACATTTCTAAACATCACCCAAACATTTCTGACCGACTTTACTGACTATCGTGATATGCAGAAAGTCACTGCGTGGGTCACTAAGCATTGACAAAAATTGATCCGTCCCCAACATACCAGAACACATTCTTAATATAATATGCACTCGAACAAGGCTACCTGGATTTCTTTCAATTATCCTACTCTTTCTTCCAGAACCCTTTACACATAAATTAAGTATCAGATATATTTAAAGAGACATCACGCATGCAGACTAAATTTTGAGATGAGATTTATTTTTTTTTTTTTTTTAATCGGGACTGAAAAGAGTCTTTCATAATCTTGCATCTTCGAAATCCTAGAGTTGTGCTCTCTATATCAAGAATCTGGGTCAGAATCACAAGTTGTATAAAGCGGAATCCATTACATTTCGAGATGGTAGTCTTACGGAAGAATTCTATTACATTTTTAACACAATTGCAATCTGTGCTCGTACTCATGGAATTGCTCTCATTCTCAAAGTCAGATTTTGTGCTCAAGCCCGACTTCTTATATAGCTTATCAAAATTAATGAAAAGTTAATTTTTGCAATGATCTGGAAGAAGTTGGGAGAGTCTTAGGGCCGAATACCGGTGTCTCTATGACGCTGTAACCTGCTTTTTTAGCCGGCGGCAAGAAAGAATGTTTGAGCACAGACTCCATGCTTGAGCACGAGACCGATCTCATGAATACGGGGCCTGGTGTTAGGACAGAAAAATCTCCTTTGTTGCTACAGTGTACAGATACATTTGTAGAACAGTGGAGCGCTAAATAGAGATTGCGGCACAACAATGATCCTTGTGCGAGTGAACGAGTGAACTATCGCAGTTTGCTGTACCTCAAGGTCATATGAATTAACAGGTATTCTGTGTTTATTTGACCACACTGGCAGTATCAAGTATGTGGACGGTGATAAACAGTGGTGCTGTATTTGAATATTGAGATATTTCGTTCCGTTAAAAAATGTAGAAATATTCATTTCAGCGTATAAGGATGAATACTGTTCAACGACGCGTGGCATTTGTACCCATGTTTACAACATTAAGAATATAAAGTTACGACATTCCTAAAATTAGGTCAACCTAATAAAAAGTATTATCCAACTCAGATGTATCCATAACGCTGGGGAGAAACGCATAAGCCTTGCAAATTATTTCTCGATGTGAAGCACAGAACAAAAGCATAGCCTGACCGAGTTTCAACCAACTTGGTTGGTTAATTTTACGTGACTACAATCGGCTAACCTCGGCTGATTCCGGTATCCTTCTTCAATACGTTTGATGTCGCCCGTCAAAACTCGGCAGATTCCGTATCTACATATACTATAAAGTAAAAGTTCATTGTTAATTACATTTACCCTATTTTTAGAATAGAGTTCTTCATTCTGCCAAAGTTTACTTATTCTGTTCAATTTCAATGATATTTTATTGTTTTTATCTATCAAGTTCTTAACATTATTGATATTTTGAGAGGATACAACGTCCCCCAGAAGATTGTTCCACGCAGACACATTTAAAGCTAGTAGCATGTACGTCTCTGTTCCAGCTTTTGACTGTACGAAATGTGAAATATATTTTCTCCTTAGGGATGTTGTGTTATGTATATGTTATATATATGTTGTGACTACCAGAGAAGTATCTGGAATTTTTGTCCCTATTCTGTTTATGATGTATGAATTAGATGTAACCTGAAGTTTCCACCGACAGTTTGAGATAAACTACACGAAAGCAAAGCAAGAACAAGGGTTTGTCGTTTATTTATCCTACTGCGAGACAATTAAACAACAGTTGTTGATTGATATGGGAATATCTTTTTCGAGTTTCCTTTTGAATTATTTCTGACTGATTCCTCACTCTAAAGCTTCACAAAAATAACCTCTCTATATCGTAATTTCTGTTTACAATCTTGTATTTCTATATGCTAGTGTTGTTAGGTTCAATTGCCTTAATCTTTCTGGATATTCTAGGCCCATCATCTCTGGTAGATATATCGTAGCTTTACATATTTAAATTTGTACGGCGACCTTATATAACTGCTCCTGCGTATTCAAACTGTGTCCTCACAAGACATTGGAAGTGTTGCATGAATGTCTTATGTGTCAGCTAGAAATCACATCGAATTTATTTATTTTATTAATTTATATATTACATATATATACGTCTCTGATTAAACACATTCGCGGGATTTCTACTACTTTACGCCTTTCTTTTACCTTTGAATGAGTATGTACTGATATGTCCCATTTTTTAGCGTATTAATCTTAATGTGATATGTTTCCACAAACGATGATTTCTTCGTTTTTAAAGTATGTGTATACTAGGGTATACTTATTACATGTTTAATGCACCTTTTAGACTATTTTTTTTCCAGCACAAGTTATATTGGGTCAGCGTAAGTGAAACTTATCTGTACCGGTTACCGAGAAACGCGATGACATACCGGTCACCGGAGAACGCGATGACATACCGGTCATCGAGGAAGGCGATGAAATACCTGTCACCGAGGAACGCGATGACATACCGGTCACCGAGGAACGCGATGTCATACCGGTCACCGAGGAACGCGATGACATATACCGGTCACCGAGGAACGCGATGACATACCAGTCACCAAGGAACGCGATGATATACCGGTCACCGGGGAACGCGATGGCATACCGGTCACCGAGGAACGCGATGACATACAGCTTTGAAGGAACTGTTGTTTAAAAAAGTTTGACACAAAGGAGGAGAGGAATTAATAATTGATAAACATAAGATTATAGCTGGTTTTCCGATCCTCGTTGTATCTGTACTGTAATGTTATATAGTGTGCAAGTGATGAAAAAAAATATTGTTTAAACTAACCTAAACATTGATTTGTTCAACTTTCAAATTTTTAATTTCGATATTTTGAAATACTGAACTATTACAAGTTGTGCATTTTGTGTCTTTCCATTCTAACTGATGTCACCTTATATCTGGTTTTAATTGATCTCTTGTACATAGTAGTAATGCTAACTTTTACAACATTTAAAGAAAAAACCCAGTGCAATTTTTGTACATGTATGTTGATGCTATCAGGAATACGCACAGTATGAATTAACTTTGACTAAGTTAGCATAACATTGGTGTTTTTTTTACCCCTGTCGGATATATGAACGCTGAGCTTGAATATGATAACCGTTTGCCCATCCTTTGGTCCTCTCGAGACGTGACTTACCTTAATATATCTTTCAATTTATGCAAAGTTAGTCAGCTTTTGATCGATGTGAATGCGTACGAATAAAATAAAAAAAGACTATATATTGGCCTGTGGAACAGGGCCAGCGATTTGAGATACTGGAATTGGTCAAGGTAAGTGTTATTGGGCATTTCGGATATTTCGTGCATCTTCTTTGTGTCTTCCCACAACAACTAATCACGAATACTGACCTTCTCAGCATGTGATTAGCGTTCTTAATGTTTGTAATGGCCAAACGTTCACAAAATCAATCGCTTAACACAACTTTCAGTAAATATAACATACATGATCCAAATTAACAAGTAAAACAAATAGAGGTCTGAATACAAGTACTGTCGTTCCGTTCTGGAAGACAAGTAACATAATCGATTAAAACATGAGGACAAAGAGCGAGTTATTGTATATCGTTATTAAAATATACAAATATTGATTAAGTTATTACCTTGAAATGAATACCAATTGATCATCTTTTAAAGATGTAACGTGAATTTTTGAAATAATCGTCCGATATTTCATAAGCAAAAAGGTTAATTGCAGAAATGATAATGGGACATGGCGTTATAATACACGTTTATTGTTATGCATAGTTTGCGAGATTATTTTGTTCATTTTTGTTCCTTTTGCAGTATTGTCTTTTATCTGAAAATAAACAAATCAATATCGTCAGCACTCGGCACACTACAAATATTACAAGAACGACTCGAAGTTACGCCATACAAGGGTTATGTATCCACTATATCCCGTATATTTATATAAAAGTATAGGACCTCGGGGAAAACTTATCCCGGCTCCGACTAAGCATCCAAACGACAATTATTATAAAATTGAGTTATATTAACACAGATTCAAACCCTAACGGTAATTACCACTCCTACACGATGGTTGAGAATGAGAAATCCAGTGATTCCATTCATGAGGACGAAGAACCAGGAGAGGACTTCATTCCGAATGGCCAAGACAAAGTGACGATCGAGGCTGAAGAAGTTTCTGGATTATTGTACAATATCTCGGACAGAGTACCCGTCCATATCGCCATGTTAATTATTAAAGGCTCGACTGTATGGCCTGTTTGCGAAACTAGAAGAATACTGATGTTTTTTTTTGTTTTTTTTTCAATTGACGAACGCATCATAAATTGTAACATGTCAGTAGCTATACTGTTATGCAGGGTAACTTCATAATTATGCTGTATATAAGTTGATTTATGGCCACATGTAAAATTGATTTTTTTTTATTATAGACGTGTCACCATGGGTAATGGAAAAGACACTTTAAAGTCACCTATCACGTGACCTTGGCATCATAAAAACATATTTACTAGGACTGTAACCTGGCCTGTCCGTCATCTGTATACTTAGAGAAACAATTTCTCTATGTTTACACGTATAGTTGCCAAAATCCTTAAAAATCACATATCTCAATCTGGAACTTTTATCAAACCAGAATCCCAGTCGTGTTCGGCTTAGAAAGAACTCCCTGCATTACAATTGACTTCAGAATTATTGTCCAATAAAACCATTTTAGTGAAATACAAATACGATCATGGTGAAAATACTTTGTTCATTTCCGTGTTCTACTCTAAATGTAATACCGAATGAAATCTGTCAAAAAAATAATAACAGATGTATATGTAAGGTAGTCTATATGGATTTCATATGAGTTCCCATTTCATACGAATTTCATGAATATTATGAACCAATTGCAAGGACTTTTCTAAGCTTAGAAATAACTTCATCTGTCAAGAAATATATGTTTTTATGTTTTTTCCTTTTTCAAATTGTTCTTTAATGGGCTCTCTCATTGGCTTGGCGGCCCTACAATTCGACATTCATATTTTTAACAATGTTAAGGTCCTGAGTTTGAGTAGTGTATTTCTAAAAGGAAAATTTCTTTTTAAAAGGACTTTTATACTTAAATATATATATTCATTTGATCGGAAGTGTGGATAACACTTCAGAATCTCATTCAGTCACATTGTAAGAACAATCGTAAACAATGCACACATAACATTAGGATTTTGTGAAGCTTCAAACTCGCGTAATTTATTAATATATATATATACATATAGTAGATATTAAATAAATAAGTCCTTGCGAAGGAAAATATAGAATAAAAACAAATTTTTCAGATCGTCCACTAGGCCTTTCTGCGTTCTAGGGCTTCTTTAGGCGGATTATATATATATATCCACAGACTTAGATAGGTAATTCGATTCCGTGATATATTGTTAAAACAATGAAAATATTGTTGTATCCAGTAAGATTCAACAGCTGATTGATTTTAGATATATACCGTGACGATAATTTTTCCCGGCGGTATCGTAATGTTTTTCTAAAGAATGAAAGTTTAAAGGTCAATTAAAATGGAAAGATCATCTTTAAGTATTCAACTTCTCAACCAGGGAAGATATATATGACAAATCTATAACACTTACCTTGGATGAACAGAAGGGAATTTGGCATCGCTATAGTGAGCCGTATTGAATGTGCAATGTATGCTAATTAGTTTTCACCAGACATGCGCAAAGAGTTACTTCAGACTGATTGATCTCGAAACGACATTGCCGATTTTAGTAGGATTTTCGACGTTCTCGGGTTATACATATATATTGGAAAACGATTGGACTCAGGTTGACTATAAGCCGACAAAAAACAAGTTCAAAAATGTGTCTTATCTTAATTTTTACTATGTTTTCGCAAAATATAAAGATGCTCATCTTCTGGCCTGTATCTGATCTCTGTGAGACACGAGATAGTTCAAGAATGACTGATATTTGGATGATTCTATAACAAGTGGACTAGCATACTCCTTAAGTCAAACACCTGTACTGGAGGTGGCTACGGACTGGATAATCAATCAGGATTGTACAGTCGAACTCGGACAAAGCAAGGAATTAGATTTACTATCAAAGTCCGTTGACAAAGGTAACAAACCAAACAGACTATCGTCGCTACGATATAAAGAATCACGTTTGATCAACTGACCAGTTGGTTTTCATCTCTAGTATTGCAAATATATAAAAGCAACAGATTTGGCCAATTTTATTTTAACACACTGGCGATGTTTCATATCAAAGCTTCCAGGTCTTTTAGGGCGATATACTTTTTAATCATATAATAAACATATAAACAGCTGTATATATATATATATACAGTACAAACCTAGCTGCAGGTCTATAATTTACCGATATCAATTACATCACCATACACGTGCGTTCAATTTTCTATATATACTTCTAGCCGTTGATAAATAAATAAAGCTTACAGGTTGTAAATACATTAAGCCACCGTTTAACATTTTAAAACAAAACCATGGATTACAACAGAGACGTACATATTACATACTTATACGTCTCTGATTACACACATTCGCGGGATTTCTACTACTTTACGCCTTTCTTTTACCTCTGAATGAGTATGCACTGATAGGTCCCATTTTTTAACGTATTAATCATAATGTGATATGTTTCCTCAAACGATGATTTCTTCGTTGTTAAAGTATGTGTATACTACGGTATACTTATTACATGTTTAGTGCACCATCTAGCACAGGTAATATTGGGTAAGCGTAAGTGAAACTCATCTGTACTGGTCACCGAGGAACGCGATGACATACTGGTCACCGAGGAACGCGATGACATACCGGTCACCGAGGAACGCGATGAAATACCGGTCACCGAGGAACGCGCTGACATATACCGGTCACCGAGGAGCGCGATGACATCCCGGTCACCGAGGAACGCGATCACATATACCGGTCACCGAGAACGCGATGACATACCGGGCACCGAGGAACGCGATGACATACCGTTCACCGAGGAACGCGATGACAGACCGGTCACCGACGAACGCGAAGACATACCGGTCACCGATGAACGCGATGACATACCGGTCACCGAGAAACGCGATGACATACCGGTCACCGAGAACGCGATGACATACCGGTCACCGAGGAACGCGATGACATACCGGTCACCGAGAACGCGATGACATACCGGTCACCAAGGAACGCGATGACATACCGGTCACCGAAGAACGCGATGACATACCGGTCACCGAGAACGCGATGACATATACCGGTCACAGAGAACGCGATGACATATACCGGTCACCGAGACCGCGATGACATATACCGGTCACCGAGACCGCGATGACATATACCGGTCACCGAGAACGCGCTGACATATACCGGTCACCGAGAACGCGATGACATATACCGGTCACCGAGAAGGCGATGACATACCGGTCACCGAGGAACGCGATGACATATACCGGTCAACGAGAAACGCGATGACATACCGGTCACCGAGAACGCGATGACATACCGGTCACCGAGGAACGCGATGAAATACAGCTTTGATGGAACTGGTGTTTGTTTAGCACAAAATCCTGCATTTTTGCCTTCTAAGCAATGAAACCTTGGTTTGTTCAACTTTCATATTTGTTAATTTCGGTATTTTGAAATACTGAACTATTACAAGTTGTGCATTTTGTGTCTTTCCATTCTAACTGATGTCACCTTATATCTGGTTTTAGTCGATCTCTTGTACATAATAGTAATGCTAACTTTTACAACATTTAAAGAAAAAACCCAGTGCAATTTGTGTACATGTATGTTGATGCTATCAGGAATACGCACAGTATGAATAACTTTGACTAAGTTAGCATAACCTTGTTTTTTTACCCCTGTCGGATACATGAACGCTGAGCTTGAATATGATAACCGCTTGTCCATCCTTTGGTCCTCTCGAGACGTGACTTACCTTAATATATCTTTCAATTTATGCAAAGTTAGTCAGCTTTTGATCGATGTGAATGCGTACGAATAAAATAAAAAAGGCTATATATTGGCCTGTGGAACAGGGTCAGCGATTTGAGGAACTGGAATTGGTCAAGGTAAGTGTTATTGGGCATTTTGTATATTTCGTGCATCTTCTTTATGTCTTCCCTAACATGCAACTAATCACGAATACTGACCTTCTCAGCATGTGGCTTGCGTTCTTAATGTTTGTAATGGCCAAACGTTCACAAAATCAATCGCTTAACACAACTTTCAGTAAATATATCATACATGATCCAAATTGGCAAGTAAAAAAATTAGAATACAAATACTGTCGTTCCGTTCTTGGAAGACAAGTAACATAATCGATCAAAACATAAGGACAAAGAGCGAGTTATTTTATATCGTTATTAAAATACACAAATATTGATTAAGGTATTACCTTGAAATGAATACCAATAGATCAACTGTTAAAGATGTTACATGAATTCCTTTTCTCGAAATAATCGCCCGATATTTCATAAGCAAAAGAGTTAATTGCAGAAATGATAATAGGACATGGCGTTATAATACACGTTTATTGTTATGCATAGTTTGCGAGATTATTTGTTCATTTTTGTTCCTTTTGCAGTATTGTCTTTTATCCGAAAATAAACAAATCAATATCGTCAGCACTCGCCACACTACAAATATTACAAGAACGACTCGAAGTCAACGTGTTGTCTTTGATAAGCAATACACGAACGGTTTTACGCCATAAAAGGGTTATATATCCACTATATCCCGTATATTTATATAAAAGTATAGGACCTCGGGGAAAACTTATCCCGGCTCCGACTAAGCATCCAAACGACAATTATTATAAAATTGAGTTATATTAACGCAGATTCAAACCCTAACGATAATTACCACTCCTACACGATGGTTGAGAATGAGAAATCCAGTGATTCCATTCATGAGGACGAAGAACCAGGAGAGGACTTCATTCCGAATGGCCAAGACAAAGTGACGATCGAGGCTGAAGAAGTTCCTGGATTATTGTACAATATCTCGGACAGAGTACCCGTCCATATCGCCATGTTTGGTGCCTTGCAGGTAATTAAGTTTGTTCATCTTGCTGTCACACATGGGTGAAAGTGTGTTGCCACATATCTTGAAATGAAAGCACCCCTTAACCTACAAGCGAAAGATAGAAAACGAATTTACCAATTAAATGGTCTAAAGAAATGAACAATAAGTTTTTTTTACAATTCAGCCTAATGTGGGTTCATGTGCAACAAGCAGAACAGATCGCAGAGAGGAAATTGACCTCTCGCGCCTGCGCATAGGCCATATCTACATCACACACGGTTACACGGTGCATTTGTCGTCAGGAAGACTAGTTTTATTGACATGCATGTGATCAATCATTTACAGTCAAACACTTTATGATTGAATGCGGTGATTTCAAACAAATACATAACAGCTTCTATAATGTATTGTCTATGAAAGATCATTTAATATTGTTTCTGTGCAATTAATTTAGGACTATTTACACTAAGCTGATCTTTACAATCACATATGATTTATTTTACAACCAGTTCGTTTGCTGTTATAGTATTTTTAAATCCTTTACATTTTGTGACCTATTTAGTTCCAGTTTGGTGTATTTATTTTTGTGTATGTCGTTTTACAGTGTTGTTTAGCCCTAAATGATTCACAAGGTCGATGGGCCGTTAATCAGTACTAAAGCAAGCAAAGCAAATATTCTTTTGATATTTGTAAATACAAATGTAGTCCTATATTAACTGTACATTTTTCGGCTAACTGAGGCAACAGCGTCCGTCCTCCGTTCGTCAGGTTTTCCCTTTAAAATGCTACCTTTCCAGAACAGCCGGGTGGATTTTTGGTCAGGCGCATTGATGGTCTAAATGGCCTTACTTTTGTGTTGACAGTGATGTGGCTCCCTTGGTGACTGAGGGGAGGGGGCCCAGTGTGGGATGGTTTGGTTTTATTGCGTTGAGTGTCCTATTTACGCTTTAAATTTAACTAAATAAAATCTAAGCCAGTGATCTAGGGTTGATCGGTATTTTCCTCCTTACGATATCGAGGATCATATAAATTAATTTTCAACATCCAGTACTCGGCACTGCAGATTTTGGGAAATATAAGGCCTTTTCATTTCAGTAATAATTACCATAACTTTAGTATGCATATACAATACCTACACCCATCTTTGTAGCCCAAAAACAAAAGATTCAAATATCCCTACCTCCCTACCGTGACGTAACCCATATCTCGATGACAGAGCCACGGAGTGATCTCCCTTCCTCTTCCTTTTATGGCGCCTGCTGCCTGCTGACGCCCGGAGCTTGCTCCATTTCAAAACTTTGTTTTGTCGGTTTGGTTCGAGTGTCAACTCAATTTTTTGCGCATTTTGTGTGCCTTATACCCATCTGCCCTTGTTAATATAATCAATTATTGTTGAAAATTATTTTTTGTGCCTTTTACGGCCGGTTATTTTATTTCGGTGACGGTTGTTTGTTTCGGCAAACGTTATTTATTTTAACCGTTTTCTGATTTATATTACGTGTTATCTGCTTGTAAAATTTTGTTTACTTTCGCTTTGGAGGGTATGTCTCGGTCGGGACAGCGACGAGGTAGAGCTCATGGGTGTTCCCATTTCTTTGTGGAACGGGACCTTCATGATGCTAGTCCCAGGTGTCGTCCTTGCAGTGAGGTTTCGCCTTTTGAACTTTGTTCACAGACTAAATCTCAGGACAAGGACTTCATTGTTCCAAAGCTACCCTCAACTTACCGTAAGAGAGATTCGTATGTTTCTTCCGGTAAGCGAGGGAAGCAGAGAGGTAGGGGTCGTGCCACCAGCTCTCTGGGGTCTGGTGGTACTGTCTCGGGGGGTCTCGCTTCGGCGAGTCCCTCTCGTGAGCAGGGGTGGCCCTTCCTGTCCAGGAACTCCCTGGAGTAGGGGAGGGGCAGCCCGACCCTGGCTTGTTACAGCCAAGGGTCGAATTTGCCGGGAACGACCGTAAGCTTCGCGCTTGCCTTCGGGTAGGGACTACCGGCCGCCGGTCACTGACTCTGTCAGTGATCCCGGCATTCCAGGTGGTGCTGTCGTTGGGGACAGTCTTGGTGCCGGACCTGTTCTTTCGGTTTCAGGTCCTGGTGTGACAACAGACTTTCTTTTGGGATTGTCTGTGTCTACCGGGATTAGTGATCACTAATCCCGGCACCAATGCTGGTCAGGCGTACCCTCCCGGTCAGTTACCCGGACCCGGTCCTATTAGGTCCGGTCCTGAGTTTCAATCTTCCGGGAACCTGGGGGGGGTTCCCCCAGGTGTTTGGTTTGCTGGACAGGGGGCCGGTTTCCGGCCTCCGTTTTCCCCTTGCTTAGGGTATTCGGGGGGCTGCGGGCAACCATCCTTGGGCCGCCCTTACCAGCCTGCGGATGGTTTTGGGTTGCGGCAGCATCCCGGCAGTTACGGGCTTAGCCCGTACATGTCCGGTCTTCCACCTGGAGGGAGTGGCGGTCCACCTTCGCCCTTTGGGCAAGTTGGCCAGCCCCAGTCTCATGCAGGCCAGTTTGGCCAGTTCTGGGGTCACTCCCAGCCCGCGGGACCGTTCCCTTATCCTCCGGGATATGGGTTTAACCCCATGGCTTTTCCGTCGTGGAATCCTATGGGTTTGGTCTCTCCCTCGCGGAGACGTGTTAGCAGTTCTGTTGGGGAGAAGGTTTGCCCACCACCTTCGGCGTCATCTGTCCCCGAGTCCACCACCTTTTTGGGTTCTTTGGTGGCTCCTCGGGTGTCCGCTTGGTCGGATCGCTCTCTGCCAGAAGGCACCATTGTGTCTTCAGCTCTGGCCACCGCCCAGTCTCGGGTTTTAGAGAAGAATTCTTCTTCAACCCGTAGTCCTGGGTATGCTGGGTTGTAGCTCAGTGTTGGCGGTTTGTCAGAAGTGCACGCCACTGACTATGCCGCACATGATGGCCTGCTTGCCCCGAGGGAACTTGCAGCCTTGCCCGGTAAATCGGTGGACCAGGTGGTGTTTGGTCCCAAAGAACACCACAAGATGGAGAGACTGCTGCGTCTCTCCATCCAGATTCTGTCTTATATAGACTACCTGACGGTTTGTCTATATAGGGTATCCGACTTGCCTGAGAGTCGGACTACCGAGACAGAGCAGGTCGACATCCAGGACAGAGTGACCTCTGCCCTGAACGGGGCATTGAGAGCGCTGGCAGCTTGACAGGTGTCATCGCTCGTCAATGTCTTGTTGGCTAGGCGGTTTTCAGTTTTGAAAAACCGCCCGGTCGATGAGCCTTACCGCTCCAGATTGTTGACTGCCCCCTTCTCAGGGTTCACTCTTTTTGGAGAGGCCCTTCCTTCTGTTCAGAAGGATTTGAAGGAGGACTTCTGGTGAAGAGGATTCAGGCTGAGAAGGCCAGTACCTCGAAGGGGTCAGCGCCTCCTAAGAAGAAGGCTAAACCTTCGGCTTCGCAGTCCTCTGCGCAGCCCAAGTATAAGCCTCCCTTCAAGGGCAACAAATAGAAGGGTAAGAAGGGTAAGAACCCTCCTGGGGGTAAAAAGAAGGATTCCTGACTCTCTTCTTCCCTCCTTGGTCGTGTTAGACGACGAGTTTGGCCGGGAGGACTGCAGTCCTCTCGGCTCAAGCTTAGGTCCTTCTCCCGCAGGATTAGGCTACGGGTCAGCAGACGGTTCTCTTGCCTGCCAAGGTCTCGATCTGCCTCGACCAGATCTTCCTGTAGGGGGGTCGTCTTTCTGCTTTCCTTCCAGGGTGGAAGGAAATTACGGAAGACGCATGGGCCTTGTCTGTGATCAAGTTAGGCATTCCGCTAGAGCGGGATCCGCCCTTAGCGTCGGAGCCAATCTTTTTTCCTCCACCGGGGGATCCGGAAAAGGCTCTGGCGCTCCAGGAGGAAGTAATGACCATGCTTACCAAGGGCGCGGCCGAGAAGGTTCCTATGTCGGGATGCACTCCCGGGTTCTACTCCAGAATGTTTCTGGTTCGGAAGAAGTCCGGGGCATGGCGTCCCATCATATATATAAGTGCCTTCAACAACCACGTAGATTCTCCTCACTTCAAGATGGAGAGTCCTCGGGCTATTATCGCCTCCGTGAGAGAGGGAATGTGGGCGACTTCAGTAGATCTGAAGGACGCCTAGTTCCACATCCCCATCAAGAAGTCGGCACGGAAGTACCTCCGAAAGTCTTCCAGTTCCGGGACATGCCGTACGGGCTCACAACTGCACCTTTGGTTTTCACCAAGCTGCTGCAGGTGGTCGTGGGATTCCTGCACTCTCGAGGAAAAGATGTTCACATCTATTTCGACGACTCCCTCATGCTCCACCTAGTGAGAGAGTCTCTGGTGCAGGTCACCCGGTTGGTTCTGAAACTCTTACTCAAGGTCGGCTTCATTCCTTCCAGAGAAAAGTCGGAGGTTTCCCCATCTCAGGATTTTGTTTTTCTGGGGAACCGTTTCAATACGGTTCAGGGCATCGCCCTTCCACCGATGGAGAAGTTCGAGAAGGCCAGGGCTTTTGCTCTGACCTTTATCGGCCGGTCTCAAGTCCAGGTACGTTGGTTTCTCAGTTTTCTGGGATATCTCAACGCCCTGGCCGATGTGGTCCCCTTAGGGAGACTTCACATCAGGCCTCTCCAGATGTTTCTCCTTGCCAACTGGGTCCCTTCTTCAAGGGATTGGGAAGCCTTGCTTCCTCTGAACCAGTCGGTCAAGGAGTACGCACGCTGGTGGACTCATCAGGACAATGTTCTCCGAGGGGTTCCTTTGTCCAAGCCAGTTCCCACTATGACCCTGTACACGGATGCATCCATGACAGGGTGGGGAGCTTATCTCGACGGGCGTTGCCAGTCGGGGGAGTGGTCTGGGGAACAGCTCTCGGAGCACAGCAATGTGCTCGAGATGAGGGCTGTTCTGTTGGCTCTGCAGTCTTTTCGGGAGATCCTGCATTCCAAGGTGGTTTGTGTGGCTACGGACAACACTACGGTTGTCGCGTATCTGGAGAGACAGGGGGGAACCAGGTCTCACACCCTGTGTGCCCTCGCTATCCGCATTCTGCTTCTATGTCAGGAAATGCAGTTGACAATTTGTGTCAAGCATCTGCCAGGCAGGTTGAATGTTCTGGCGGATACTCTTTCCAGGCGCCGCCAGCCGGTTTTGACAGAGTGGCAACTGAATCCCTCGATTTTCGTGGGAATTTGTCAGGTGTGGGACAGGCCTCACATAGACCTGTTCGCCACTTCACTGAACAATCAGTTGCCAACGTTTGTCTCTCCGGTACCAGATCCAAGGGCTTGGGCCGTGGACGCTCTGTCTCTGGATTGGGAGGGAATGCATGCATATGCATTCCCACCCTTCAACATGGTGGGCAGGGTGCTGCAGAAGTTTCGGGAGCATCAGTGTTCCCTCCTCCTGATAGCGCCCCTGTGGCCGAGGCAGCCTTGGTTTCCGGAGCTTTTGTCGCTTCTGGTGGAAGAGCCCCTGGCTCTTCCTCTCAGAGCGAACCTCCTTCGCCAGCCTCGTTCCAGGACGATGCACTCTCGTCCGGAGATCCTCCACCTTCACGCGTGGAAGCTATCTCAGGAGGCCTCGCTCAGGCGGGCTTTTCTAGGGACGTGTCAGATCGCATCGCTCGATCAATTAGGGCTTCCTCATCTGCCGTCTACCAGTCACGATGGAAGATTTACTGTGATTGGTGTGTCGGCAGGAAGGTTGATCCGATCAAGGCTACTGTCCAGGTGATTGCGGACTTCCTTCTTTGGCTGTTTAGGGACCGCAATCTTGCCCCTGGCACTATCGCTGGTTATCGCACGGCCATTGCTAGTGTTCTCTCTGTTCATGGTAGGTCGGAGGTAGGCTCGTCCTCCTCTCTTTCTGCCTTGATTAGGGTTTTTTGGGTTGGACAGGCCTAAGGTCCGGCAGTTGGCTCCGCAGTGGAATTTGCCACTGGTGCTCGAATCGCTGATGTGGGCACCTTATGAGCCTTTGGCGTCTGCCTCCTTGAAGTTTGTTACCTACAAGGTGGTATTCCTTATTGCCCTGGCCTCAGGTCGAAGGAGGAGTGAGATTCATGCCTTGTTTTCTCACCCCTCTTGCCTCCGGTGGTCCAGGAATTACTCTGCCGTTACCCTTCTCACTGATCCTGCCTTTATGGCTAAAAATCAGGTTCCTGGAGTCTCGCCCGATCCGAATAAGACCGTCTTTGACTGCCTTCGTTGGGTCTGAGGAACGGGATAGGTTGCTCTGTCCCTGTCGGGCGCTTAGGTTTTACCTCGATAAAACAGGGGGGATGTCTCCCCTCAGTCAGTGTCTAGATGGATCTGTCAGGTCATCAAGTACGGTTACGACCACTCGGATGATCAGGTTCGGGCGTTGTATAAGGTGAGAGCTCATGAGATCAGGGCCCTTGCTGCGTCATGGGCCCTCCTCAATGGGTCCCCCTTTCAGGAGGTCATGTCCGCGGCTTTCTGGCGCGGACAGACTACCTTCACGGATTTTTATCTCCGGTCCTTGGCCTCTCATTCTGATGGATTGTATTCCCTTGGACCGGTGGTGGTTGCACAGTCTGTGGCTGTTCCTCCACAGTAATTCAGTGATTTTAAATAGTATGCTATCAGGCACCACGGTGGTACACCTGCTCGTTTCACGGGGAGGTTTTCCATTTTTTAATTACTTTCGGGGCTTTATTAGGGGGGTTCCTTGAACCTTTTCCCTACCTTGAGCATGTCTCGAGTTTGTTCCGTCAGCCTGGTCTGCCTGGATTCGAAGCCTCCACTACGGTAAGACGAATTCGCATACTAAAGTTATGGTAATTATTACTGAAATGAAATTGAGGTTTTTGAAGTAAAACCAATTTTCATGATGTAATACTTACCATAACTTTATGGAGTCCCACCCTGTATTCCTCCCCTTGCCTCCTCATCCTGGCTGCCTTTAGGCTCCATAAAAGGGGGTTTGAGGAAGGGAGATCACTCCGTGGCTCTGTCATCGAGATAGAGGTTACGTCACGGTAGGGAGGTAGGGATATTTGAATCTTTTGTTTTTGGGCTACAAAGATGGGTGTAGGTATTGTATATGCATACTAAAGTTATGGTAAGTATTACATCATGGAAATTGGTTTTACTTCAAAAACCTCAAGTTTGTATTTTCTTGCAAGTCGTTAAAGGCGGATTATGTGGGATCCTGCTGATCGCAGATTTTTTCAATGTCTTCTGCTATCGGGACCTTTACGAAACTAAAATTAAGCTGCCGCCTTGGCAACATCCGGGATCTTTATATTTTCTCTCTACTTTCCTAACACCTTGCTTGGAAATATCTCAATTTTGGCGTAAGTGTTGCACGTTCGTCCAAGTGGAAAGTCAGTGTGTTCTGTACTCAGACCGGGACATACAAAGATTTAAAACAAAATGGTAGTTGTTATTCCCATGTTAACGTTCACTTTTAGGGTAATGACAACAGCTAGTTTATCCGTTGTCAGTATTATGTGACCGGGCGGGTTATTGTGCATGATGTCTCGGCATGGTATTTCTATGAGGTACCACTCAAAAGTCGGAGGAGTCATTTACATCAACATACCCTGCTCACATCACTCATACAAACCTACACGCATGCATTACACACATGGAAGCACGTTGTTAAATGGCGCTTGAGGTGTTCAAAGGACGTTACACAAACTTAACCGAAGAAATTTTAAACAGGTTTATGACTCGTTCTAAATTGACGAGGACAGGTTACCCGCATCTATCACATAACGAAAACCTTGAAATGAATGTCTGTTCTTCATCCTTCAAATCCCTCGCCAGGGTTACGATAAAACATCTTTAACTTTTCACTCTGCATATAAATAATACATTTCTTGTTTGGCATTTGTATGTGCGGCATCAAGTACAAAATTGATTATTAACTGTCTTATATCGTAAAAGAACTAAGATTTAATGTTTTGTTTATGTCTTAGCATACCCTTATCGCTCTGTCTTCTCAACTGGCCGTGTCGTCATTAGTGGTAGACATCGTCTGCGCGTCGGACTTCCCAGACATCAGGAGGGACCTCCTCAGTTCTACATTATTAATGAATGGTGTTACGACTTTGTTGATGGTCACAGTTGGAATAAGGTAAGTGGCTTTTATTGTACATATACGAAGTCGTCATCGCTTGGTTTTGGTTTTATTTTGTTTAACGTCCTATTAACAGCTAAGGTCATTTAAGGACGTGTCTTCATGTGTGTTGTGTAAGCGTGTATGTGTGCTGGAGACGGGGTATGTTGTTGTACTTGCCTCATTGTGATAGCGCGGGTGTGATGCTGACCTTTTTAGTGCTATCTCACAAAAATGCCATGCCGAAGGCACCCAGCACAGCATTCCGCCCGTCACATTATACCTACAACGAGTGAACTAGTTGTAGCCATTACCCTCAATGCTGAAACTTAAACAGGAAATAACAACTACCATTTTGTAGGACTTTGGTATATCCCGGCCTGGAGACAGAACCAATTGCCTTCCTCACTTGAGCAAACGTCCAACATCCAAGGCAAAAGTGAGGTATTTCCAAACAAGGCGCTAGACAATAAAAGGTAGCTAGAAGTAAAAGATCCCAACTATTGCAATTCGTGTAACAGATTTATTTTGGTCGTTTTCGTGTCCTTTAGAAGAGGGCACAAAAGCCATCCCCAATTCAGCAGAGGGTTCTCACATTAGCCGCCTTTTACTATACATATGCATTGGGTTACAGCAAGGTGTATTCTTTTCTCGATCCCAAACCTGCAGGGTGTGGGATTAAGGTAATTATTTTAAGAGGCAGTAACGGCGGCACCGACTTTTTGTTTTCACACTAGGGGTAAGGTACGTAGATTTATACAAATACTTGCATCAATAGAATCTAATTCACCGTAAAAGAAATATATTAATGGATGAATCGGAAAGCTCCTCGACCTGATTTTTATCGATCTTGCTTATTTAGAGTAAACAACACGGCATATCTATCTTTATTACACGGATGCACCAAAACCAATTAAGGATATTTTTTAATTGAAATAAAATCGTAAATAATGATCGTTAGGCTATTTTGCTATTTGATTCGGTTCTGAATATGTTGTCTTTTTATTTTGATATCGAGTTCCCGCCTTTGTATTGTATGTTGAACCATATCATACATTTATGTATCTCAACCAAAGAATAAAATAAGTATCCAATAATAGGTTTTTGCAAATGAAGATTCATAGTTTTTTTTGTTGAATTTATATTTCACGGAGTTTGGCAGAATATCGATATTTTTCATGAGAACGAAGTAACATTAAATAAGCTAATATGTGTAATTTTACATGAAAACATTTCATATTCTATTTAATACATTTCCCGACTACCTACAACAACGAAGATATTACTGAACCAAACAGTATATGACATCTTCGGCGCCATATGCTAATGAGGTTGCGCATGACAACACGGTTGCGTGCCATTTTCAATAGCCTACTCGGCTCAATTCTACCAATTGTTGCTGTTATATTCCGTCTTTGTGTATTGCAGAGTTATCCTCTCTTGTGAGCAGGTATTGATTGTTACGTCATTGGTTTGTGTGAGAAAATTACGTCGTTTTCTCAAAAATTGATGACGATACTCTCACAAACAAATGACGTAACAATCATTACCTGCTCACAAGAGCAGATAACTCTGCAATACGAAAAGACGGAATAGTAAGGGTTGCTTCTATAAAGTGTACAAACTGTGTTGGTAAATAAATACCTCAGTGTTTGTTGCTAACACGTACCAAAACATGCACTTCGAACATGTATACCGTCGTTTCATGTGTATATGCGCAAGAAACAATACCATCACTTTCGAAATCTGTCTTAGCGTGAAAGTTATCAGTTATGTTGAACTGCATTAGTTATAACATATAATCTTCCAATCTCGTTTAGGCTTCCGCTGTTCCAAGGCGCTGCATCTGAATACATCGTTCCGTTGTTGGCCATGAAGATGGTAGATACTGATTTTTGTAAACTCCCGACAGGTAAGTGCGATCTGTTAAATCTGTTAATATGTATTATAAATGTGTTCTGTTATTGTAAATGTAAAACAAAATATGACTGTTTGTGCTGTAAATTTTATATTGATATATTTGTATTGTCTTGCATTTTATTTGAACCATTCTTAATCTTACAGAATCGGGAAGTGACCAATTTCTCAATGTTAGCATGGGTATGGGCGACACTGGATCCAGTTTCCCTACAAATACAAGTGACCTGCATGTCATGGAGGACAAACGAGCCCTTGTTCTTTCTAAGCTGTGCGAGGTAAGTTTGGGATATATTTAGTAGTAATCAATTATCTCTTCTCTCCTTTCTAAATAATGTTCTTCTTCCTAATGTCTCCCTTGACAATGCCTCACTTCTGGCCATTTGTTGAGCGTCGCCCCTGTGAGGAAAGCTTTGGGTTATGTCCCCTGGCCGAGACATACCAAAGTCTTTAAAAATGGTCGTTTCTACTCCTGCTTAACGCTCAGCAAATTAGGAGTGGTACGACTGGTTCGCCCGTTGTCAGTATAATGTGACCGGGTGGGGCGTCCTGCTGGGTGTCTTCGGCAGTATGTTTCAGTGAGGTAGCACTATAAAGTAGTCATCAGCTCCGCGCTATCACAAGGAGACAAACACGAACATATCGCAGCCTCCCAAAACACACACACATACACTACACGCTTGCATCTTGCACACAGGGGAGGCTGTCCTTAAATGACCTAAGCTGTTCATAGGACGTTAAACAAAATAAAACCAAACCAAACCAATCAATTAATCTTTTTGATCCCCTATCCGTTCTCAATTACCTTTATATCAGTAACGTTGTAGTATTACTATTAATCTCTTACTTATAAAACCTCAAAGTACCATATTGTATTATACTGCTATGGTCCTCTGAATAGGTGAGGTCATTTAATAACGTGCCTCATGTGTGGAATGTATGTGTGCATACCAAATTCCTTAAAATGGCATTATTTATTTATTCCCTGCTTAGCGTTCAGCAATTAGGGAAATGGAAACAACTGGTTCACCGTTTGTTGTATAATGTGACCAAGCGGAATTCTATGCTAGGTGCGTTCTGCATGGTATTTCAGTTATATAGAATTATCAAGTCTGCATGAGGAACACACTATAGCAAGGAGGCAAATGCACCAACATACCCATCACACTTACTTGTGCATTTAACGTATGGAGACGCGCCTTTAAATGACGTTAGCAGTTAATAGGACGTTAAACCATGTAAAACCAAACCAGTTAGTTAGTCAGCAAGTTTCAGTACATTTACAAAGCTTGAATTCTTGTAATATAGTTGTACACATAAGTTACCTAACATTTTACATATCTGTGACTTATACATGTGACCGTCAGGTCTAAAGTTGTTTTCCAAAAGAGTATTTTACGTAATTAAACGTCATGTTACGTACTACCCATTTAGTCCTAGTGTTTTTGTGTAACAGTTGCAGGGCTGTTTGATCCTAGTAGGGATTATCCACTGCCTTGTCGGACTTACAGGGATCGGTGGCCTCCTTCTGAAGTTTATTGGGCCTGTTACAATTGTCCCCGCCATGTTACTTATGGGGACTTATCTGGCTAGGGCAACTGCAAAGTTTGCAAGAGTTCACTGGGGCATTGCCGTTGTGTAAGTATCAAATAGGTAAAAAGGAATCTGTTATACTTTAAGGTATATTTTCTTATTATAATAAACTCAAGGTAGTTAAATATTTATATATGTATTTTTACCTCAAATATTAGTATAGTGAAAATTCAAGCAAATTTATATCAAAATTTGATTTCTTTGCAGTAGATAGAACAATAATCTCAACAAGGTTTCAATGGTAACTAACATTGCTTTTGTGACGTCATAATAATGTCTATAAAAAGTTCAAAACTAGGTTCAATTAATGTTGGTTTTGTGTATAAAGAGGCCAAGACGTGCGATTATTGTTACTTAATCCTGAAGTGTTGCAATTGTATTTTTCCTTGACGGTTTAATTTCTTGCAAGAAATTGTAAGCATACCTGTTTAGTAGATTCGTCATTTTTTTTTTTCATTTTGTTTTCTTTTTTTTTTCAAGACAAGACAAAACATTTATGACATTGTTCATACATATTAAACAAAGGTGTCTATAAAGTTTTAAATAGTTTTTTTAATAGCAGATGCGTCATGATAACAAAATACATGATTTTATTACAGTACTACTCCTATGATCAAATGTGTTGTAGCACATCGGTTACAGCTATCGTGATGTCTCAATATCTCAGCAAGCGGAAAACGCCGTGTCCTGCCTGGTCTAGGAAAAAAGGTTTTCACATCTTTTGGTATCCCTTCCACCAAATATTTTCGGTAATTTTAATGTCAAGTTGTAATTTTCCTGTCGTATACGGAAAATTTACAAGAGTTGTTTTGCCTCAACTGATAATTTTGGATTCAACAAATGACAATATTTGCAGAAGATATTCGAAACGCTAGCGAACTGGTATCTTAATGATGATATTATGACACTGTGACGATTTTACATGCATACACGCAGGCAGTGGGTAGAAAAACTATTGGTGACACAGATTGATGAGTGATCATGAACTTGATAATATCGTTTCTAAAGTAGAAGTGGTATTATTAAGATGGCTGCGAGCAATTGAAACCTCCTGGACTTAAACAGATATTTGTGACAATGTGATACTGAATACAGCGATACAGATAACGCATTTTGTCTTATATATATATATATTAAGAGCTTGTATTGGACATGTTATAGTTCATGCGAGCAATGTTAGGTTTTCATAAGCAGTTTACAAACGTCAGCAATGCACAGATATCGGGCGTCATCACATAAATATTATTCGTAACCTTTTATGTTTTTTTTTATTATTATTAATAAATAATGAACCAGTAAGATATATGTCACACTGGGATTTGATATGCAGATTTAAGAAGTACAAATAATCATTTTAATAAGAAAAGAGAGCGAAGCGTACACCATAGAAAGAATGTGTCTTGTTCAATCTTGACAATCTACCTTGTAAGGAATCTTGATAAGAATTGGTGCGTTTAGTTTACGTAACCATTATAAAGGTTCTTACCTTTAATTACAGCCACACTGAGTTATTCTATTTGACTTGTTTTGTGTTTCAGATTCTGATTGGTATATTGGTCGGTTGGGGTGTAGCAGCTTTGATGACGTATGCAGGGGCATTGACAGACGATTCCTCAAAGGCAGAATTCATGGCCAGGACTGATGCACGTGCTGATATCATCTGGAACGCCAACTGGTTCAAAGTGCCATATCCAAGTGTGTTCCGATTGTATATATTTTCAACAAACACTATATATAACCGACAGAATTGTGATAATTGCGTTCCACTGACACGACGACATCCGGGAAAAGCATTAAGTTTCTTTTTAACAGTTACAGACACTGTTAGGAGATATCAAACAAACGATATACGATATTATATTTACATAATTTATTATAGACTGTGCAACGGTTCATCCTATGTCACCTAAGTTACTTTCCCCTGTTATGTTTTTGTCCATTCCGTTACGGGTGTCGTAACCTATTAATTACTATTATTATTTCTATATATGATAGTATATTACTTATATAATATAACAGGAGCCATTGGTCATGCAATCGTCTATATTGGTGACAAAGCTTTTATAGGTTAGAAAGGATATATCATGACGGGGTGGGGTTCTATGTGTTCTATGTTTGTATATCCCTTGTATTTTATTCCATTGGGTTCTGACATTCGTATTATCATAAATGGTGTCTGAAATCTTGACAAAACTGGAGTCAGATGTTACACAATGACCTAGCTGATAATCGGGTTAACTCGTTATTGATTGTTCCAGATCAATTTGGAACGCCAACCTTCAACACAGGAGTGTTTATAGCTTTCTTCATTGGTACACTTAACTCCATCCTCGATTCCATCGGAGATTACTACGCATGCGCAAGAACTTGTAACGTTCCCCCGCCGCCTCGCTTTGCCGTTAACAGAGCTATCACAGTGGAAGGCTTTGGTACCACATTGTCAGGGGTCTTGGGGTGTGGCCACGCTACCACCACGTATGGAGGGAACATCGGGGTCCTGGGGGTTACAAAGGTCAGTGTTTATTTACCTTTTAAAAAGTTATCCGAACAAGGGCTCCATGGTATACAAAATTACTTTTGGGACGTCTTAATAATGACTGTCCAAGTTCAGATATATGTTGTCAATTAATGTTGGTTTTGTTTCTGAAGAGGCCAATACCTGCGATTGCTGGTATCAAACTATTGACTTCTGATCTTGTATCCCCATGGCAATGCTTGGAATCTTTAATTTCATATTTTTCTAACTTGTCTGCTGCTTATTTCCCGGCGGCGTCTCTATAGGTACCCGTCTTTAGCTGTTACGAGGACGTTCAACAAACCTTTTTTGTTTATAGGTAGCCAGTCGGGATGTTATGCTGTGGACGGCAGTCATGTATATAGTTTTTGGCCTCGTAGGGAAAGTGTCGGCAGTCTTCATAACCATACCACTTCCGGTCCTAGGTGGCGCCATGATCGTTATGTTTGGAATGTTTAATGGGATTGTCCTGTCCAACCTCCAAGTGGTATCGCTTTCATCTACTCGTAATCTCGCTATCATCGGAACCTCTATACTTGTTGGTCTGATGGTCCCCTACTGGCTAGAGGTCTATCCGGATGATCTCAAAACAGGTGCGAGTTGTTTCTAACAATACAAAAATATATAAAATGTATTTAGTCGCATCTTTATGTAAAAGTAAAATTGTATACTTGACAACAGATTACACCCTGTAAATCCTGAAATCGGTTAACTGGTTGATTTGGTTTAGTATTGTTTAACGTCCTATCAACAGCTAAGGTCATTTAAGGAGGACCTCTCCTGTGAGCAAAGTGCATGCGCGAGTGTATGCGTGTGTGTTTTGGGAGGCTGCGATATGTTCGTGTTTGTCTCCTTGTGATAGCGCGGAACTGATGCCAATGACAATGACAGTTGTTTTATTTTATAAACAATACAGTGTAGAGAATACATATATACAAATGGGTGACAATAGTACAGGATGGAACAGGATGGACATTAGTATTGTAAATTAGTTTTGTCATTAATATCGGTAATAAATTTAGCCAATGATGTGAATTCATGTTGTGTTACATAATTGAACAATGTATGATATTTAAATGTGTTTGACATATGTTTTCGTCTACTACTGAGTATTGGTTGATGTGTACACGTTAACAGATAATGAAACATTTATTAAACCTAATGACCTCTTCTGTGTTATTAGGGAATTAAGAATTCAATGATAATATTATTTTATACACTTCATTTTATTTTATTTATAACAGCAGTGACAATAAAATACTTTTGAATTTTGTTTACTTTTTATTTCAAGAGGCAAAAAAAACACTTTTTGTGTGTTATTTTATGAAATGCAAAATAATGAATTTTATGTGTTACCTTGTAGGCAATGCCTATAACGACAACATATTAAAGACACTATTATCAAACCCCATCCTGTGTGGAGGTATTATAGCGGGCTTCTTGGACAACACAGTTCCGGGTAAGTTATTTGTTTGGAAGGTCCTATGACCGGATGAGTTATCGCCCTTGCAATGTACGACGTAACTCTTTTGTTTTTGTTGGTAATAAAGTTTGTCTTTGTCCGCCATTTGCATGGTTCTGTGTCTGATTACACTACACAATATACAAAGGAATCAAGTATGAAGGCTGATATAAACATTAGGATAAGCATATGGAATTCATCGGCGTGATAGTTTTACTGGATAAAAAAGTGACGTCAGCAAGTTATACCAATGCCGATTCCAAATTTTGTAACCATTTACTGCTCCCTGAGAGTAAAAATCGAAATATAACACAACATGTTCCAGACGAACTTTCACGACCATATATTTACTTCCTTTTTAAAAAATCAGTTGCAAAACTTCGTTTAACTTTTGCGTTTAAGATCGTTTAAGGATTAATAGTGTCATTTGACTCGTACAATGCAGACTGCAGGCTACGTTGTAACAACACAACAGCAAAGACTGTAAATAGGCAGGTGTCGAAAGCGACAATGCCAAAAGAAAGTGGAAGAAAAGTGAAAAAAACCTGTTGCATTTGGGCCAGCATAACAAGTTTAATTTCTTCCGAATCCCCTTAACAGAACACGGTTTCTACAGAATACGAAATGGTATTTAGATAGGAACGAAACATGGTTGTACGTAACTGAAACGCTGACGAAAACGTCTCGATGTACACGAATACCATCTTAACTGCGTAGTACACACCAAGTTATCTGAACTTACGAGTTACCTCCCGTTGCACCCTCAGAACAGCGTCATTTCAGACGCCAAATCACATATATGAAAACTGTTTAGCCTCTTAACAAAAAGATTTCTTGTTTAATAATAAATATGAATACTATTTATAAGACATTATTTTTACCTATTGAAATGGTGTTCACCGACTTTGCGCCGTTCCTACACGAGGAACCTTCTGCAAGGTGTGATTGGTTTTGGTTTGATATTGTTTAACGTTCTATTAACAGCTGAGGTCATTTAAGGACGCAAGGTCTGAAAGTTTCAGCCGAACTCAGGTTCATTAAAAGCTCATTACAGCTATTATTGTATTTTACTTAGTGGCAATGACGTGGCGTTGCGTACGTTTTTTGTGCTATTTTGATCTGTACCGGTAAACATGGCATGCTTTGTTATATGAAACAAAGTTCCAATCAAGCACATTCCATATGATGCGCTGCAATGAATTTTGCAAACTACATCAAAACGAACCTTCTTAATTTTTTTTTTGAAAAAAATGCATTTCAGTCCTTATATAATTGTTTGAGTGAGGATAATAGTACAACCAAAGAATCGAAATATATCTGCTGAACACAGTACATTTGTCATTTCTTTAAATTAGCAAGTACTGAGGTTTCCTTTGGCATTCTTTTACTACGCGACAATAAGGCTGTTGTTATTATAATGTGACGGGATAAGGCTAATCATTGAATTGTCCAATTATTCATGGGCACGTCTTCATATGTCCTTAGCTGTTTCGAAAACTTAAAAAAAAAGAACCAACCGTACAAATAACAGACGAAAAAGATTCATAAAACACATGATACTTTTAAGATAATGAGAATAGATAATAGCTTATATTATTACTAGTGATATTTTTAACTACACAAGTCATGTCTATTTACAGTTTTAAATCAGAATCAAGTTTTAATTGGCCATGGCCGTCGATGTCTTGATTTCTTTTAATAAGCAGAAAACACGAAAGAAGATTTCTATTCTGTAGGAAGTCGATGTCAGTCAATATCGTTTGCATTAGCATGCAGTGATTCTATAATATCTAATATGATTTCACATTAATACTTCTATATATAAGGCTATATATGTCTTCTTCATTATATCTATGCACTGTTCAATTTTAAGAAATGGGCATTTAAAGGCTTTGCCTGTTGCTCAATTCATTTTGTATGCAAGACTATACTTTGCAATAATCTGAAACGAAAAGGCATGTAGTTGGATATAACAGGCCTGTTCTTTCCTGGAACTTGCAGCGGTAGCATCGTTGTATATGGAAACAAGTATTATATAAAACAATGTACTACAACATCAAACCTTTTTATTATTCCAATTTATCACAAATTTTGTGAAACAGGATTTAGGTCACTTATATATTTAGCTTTGGTTCTGTACATGGAGTTGAAGAAAAAAACATCTTTATGTATTTGCATAGGTACGGCCAGAGAGCGAGGGATCACAGCTTGGCAGGAGCCCGAAAAGTGTGGACAAACCCTGAAGTACAGTGAAGGACTGGAAATATACACTCCTCTTCTGCCAGCGCGCTTGCTCTCTTGGAGGGTGATGAAGTACTTGCCCTTCTGTCAGTATAAGCCTGTTGAAGACAACGTGTGTGACCACAAAGAACATACTGTATAGGGCTAAGGAGGACAATGTCGGTCCTTCAGGCAGTGTTGTCTTCACTCTATTTAATTGAAAGATAAATTTCCGTTTCTTAGAAACATGTTACTTATTTCTTCGATGCTTTTGCTTCCTAAAACAGCATTGATAAGCATTTTGGAAAAATACAAATAAATATTTTTAAGGATGGTAAGAACATAAGGATTTTTTTCTTTAATTTTAATCGTAGCATGCAAGAAAATTATCAGAATCAACTACTTAAATTCATACATATTTCTGAATTCCAACTAAGTGTTTACGTTTCGATGCTGATTCGACATTTTCGCTGTTTCAACGAGTATCACTATTTGCGTAAAATATGACTGCGACCAAACATACATCTCAGTGTGTCAAGAAATACATGCTGATGAGAAATATGAACAAGATTCAGGGTCGTTAGCATGATCTCATTGAAGTGCTGTATTAAACATCCACTTGAATATGACACCGGTTTTAGTGAAGAGGGTCGTCAATCAAGCAGAAGACCATTCTATAACAAGTGATCACATTTTAATTTTTATTTTACTTTTCTTTGTTCATATAATGATTTGAGCTCGAATCACGGTTTTATATCCTTAGCTGTTGCCATTACCCTATATGCTTAGCGTGAAGCAGGGTATAACAACTACCATTTTTAAGGACTTTGGTATGTCCCGCCCTGGGCACAGAACCAATTACCTTCCTCGCCTGGACGAACGTTCGACATTAAAGCCAGCAGTGAGTTGTTTCGAAGCAAGGCGCTAGGAAATAAAAGGTAGTAAGAAGAAGAGAGAAATATAATGAACCCAAATGTTCCAATGGGTGCAGAAGATTTATTTTGGTCGCTTTAATGTTCCCAAGTAGAGGGTACACATGCAAATCCCAAAATCTGCAGGGGGTTTCCCATTGGTCGCCTATCTCTCGATCCCGATCAGGATATCGTTATAATGTAATACAACAAATAACAACAGTGACTGCCAACTCATAAATAACGTGAACTTAAGTATCTTACAGATCTTAAACCAATGCAGGTTTTTGGAAACAATATACCTGCTATATCCCACTGCATGATAGTAAGATGCGACTAATTTAGCGGCCCTGCAGAGTCGGGTTGTGTTTCTGCCTTGCCATCTATTAAAGGGACAATGAGGAAATCAAAATAGACCTGCTGTATATCGCTAAAAATGTATCGTATAAAGCGACTAATGTTGGGCCCCTGCAGAATTAGGGTTTTTTCTTCTGTGTCTTCTACCAAAGGGGTCATTAAAGAGACAACAACTGATATGTTGCTCTCATTGCAAAACTTAGGACCTTTTTTGCTTCCTTTCTTTCCTGTTTTATTTCTTTTCTATCTACTTTCTAGTTCAGGCGGTGTCTCCCTAGACACCTGTCCTTATATGACCCTGACTGTTGCGAGGGCGTTAAATCACAAACAAACAAACAAAAGTTCGTCTTTTACATTTTTTGTTCAATTGATGTCATAACCTTCAACATGTTTTATCTACTTGTAGTGACCCTAATGATATGTAGGATTTAAGGTCAGAAAATATAAACACAGCTAGTGGAACGGAGAGCCGTATTCAAGTTACAGAACATTCAGGACATTAGTTTGAACAAGTGGTACAGGCGAAGGATATACTACACAGGAAGTTATATTTCAAGGAAAATCGGAAACGCCAATAGGAATCTGGTCACTATTCTACTGGTGGCTTAGGAATTCGACACAATTTGTTTATTTTAGTAACTAAGATTGGCATTGCCTTGATACTATGTTAATTTTATTGTGATATGATTGTAACAACTGTAAAGGACATTGTTTTGTGATGATGGAGTATTCCCCGGGAAGATGGTGAATTTGTCCAGGAAGTTTTAAATTGTATAGTGAAATATAATATTTTGTTTTTTTATTATCAAAATTAATTATATTGAAATTATACAATTGATCCAAAATGGGATCTACTCTAAGTGCAAACGGAAACAAATCCGAACAGATTGACAAAAAACTTCGCCCAGATGCCAATGAGTCGTCTAGAGAATTCAAATTGCTACTCCTTGGTAAGTATCAGTAGTATTATCATTGTGACAATAATTCTATATATGTGTATATTTTAGTGAGACATTAATCAATAGCATAACAAGGTATGCTGACAGGCCTGATATAGACAACCTAATTCATTTCATTGTCCGTGTTCTGTCGTCCGTCCGTCCTCAAACAATTCTTGTTAGCGCTATTTCTCAAAAAGTACCAGAGGGATGTTGTAAACCTCATGTGAAGGTTTTGTTAGCGCTGTTTTTCAGAAATAACCTAATGGATCTTTCTTAAATTTCACACGAAGTGAATGTTCCTCACGGTCATTTTTTAATGCAAATTAAATTTTGTGACTGATTTGAAAAGCAAGATGGCCGAAAGGCGCCATTTTGAATTGTTTTAGTAAAAGTTTTAAAAGTAATTTTCAGCTCATAATCGGTAAGCAAATTTCACAGTATTCTCAGAAATTACTGGAAGAATCATTTTTAAATTTCCCCTTGGTCTGTGTTTACTTTTGAGACTGATCGGATAAGCAACATGATCAACAGGCGGCCATCTTGGATTTTGACATTGAAAGTTTGTTATCACTATTTCTCAAAAAGTACTTGAGGAATCTTTTTTAAATTTGATATGCAGGTTCCCCTTGATCTGTTGTTGTGTTTTGTATTATGGATCCCTAAATTTAAAAAACGTGTATATAACTAAAGGTGTGAAACCCTGTGATGGCTTCAGGATTCTTCTCTTTTATCGTATGTAGGAGGACTTTTATTTCAATTCTTGTATATAAGAATTCCTTGGCCAAAGGTTCTTAATTTTGTATAATCAAAAGGTGTGACTCATCCAATTGAATGTTGGATGAGCCCTTTATGGGCAATAGGAGTGAACTATTCAAAGACTATTCCCTCAGAACAATAAAGGTCATTTTAATGTAATCTGGTTTAAAAGATCCTTGAACCAAGGTTACAATTTAGAGGCATTCATTACAATATTTCTGCTTGTTTTCGCTTTGTATTAATGGTTTACACTTTTGATAAGGAATTACTGTATCGAAAGAATCTATCGTGTATATAAGTAAAGAGCATGTGAGATTTTCAGGACAAATGGGGCAGTTGCGGCCCTAATGATAATCAGTATAGAAGGGGAAAATTGTCAGACTTATATAATTAATACAATATTTTATTATATTATTAATTAGACAGTAGCTTATTCCGTCTTTTCGTATTGCAGAGTTATCTTCTCTTGGGAGCAGGTATTGATTGTTACGTCACTTGCGAGAGTAACGTCATCAATTTTTGAGAAAACGACGCTCTTTTCTCACACAAACCAATGACGTAACAATCAATCCCTGCTCCCAAGAGAAGATAACTCTGCAATACGCAAGGACGGAATTAACAGTTAAACCGACGCTTTGGCATTGTTGTTTGTAATGTAAACATCTTTTCAATGAACTATTGACATCAACGTCCATTGTTTATGTACTCTGATCCCTACCAGTGTGTTAAACTGAATATCAATCACTACTTTAGTATATCAGTACATCTTAACACTAATCTTAGTTATTGGACGCTGGAGATAGATGGATGTCGACGGGGCAAATTACCAAAATATATCATTTTAGACTTTTTACGATCAAATAATTCCTTTCCCCATCTAAAATTTCTAAAACTACCCAATATTTCAACGGATAAAGAAACTGGCTGGCTGATTTTAGGGGAAACACTATTGACGTACTTCTTGCCACCTTGGTGTTCTGTTTTTAGAAAAGACTTCTTTGTAAATGCTTTTCATCCCCTCCAAAGCCCGCTCTGTATTGGTTTTCGAAGGGCAAACTATTGGCAAGTTGACTATATCTGTTGGCATTGTTTTTAAAGAAGAAAACTTTTATCTCGCTGATTCTCTCCCCCCTTAGTATTGATTTTATAGACAAAAAATATTTATATGCTGGTTTTCCGCCCTTAAAACAATTTGAATGGGATATTTATTGACTCGATGATCCCCTACATACTTGGTACTTATTTTAAGGGGGTAGGGTAGGTTACTTTAGGCTAAGTGATTCGTTTTCAACCCTAGATTACAATTTGTAGGGGAAACTGTCGGCCAGCTGTCTTTTTCCATTTCATTGGAAATACTATTGGAAAGATGTTAAATTTCTTGCCCCTGTTATCAATTTTCAATTTGTAGGAGAAACCTAATAACATGCTGAGTTTTACCCTCACCTCGGATACAGTTGTTTTATTGGGGAAATATTGGCAAGCAGATTCTTACCCTATCGTATTTTATTCCTGCAGATCGGGGATCGAGAAAATGATACAACTGCTATTGCCCACTACATGTATCGCAAGAGATGACTTATGTGAGAACCCCCTGCTAGATTAGGGATTTGCTTTCGTGCCCTCTACCTGAAGACACAAAAGCGACCAAAATAAATCTGCAATAGTTTGCATCTTGATATTTCTCTTTACTTCTAACTACCTTTTTTCCCTAGCGCCTTGCTTGGCAATACTTCACTTTTGGCTTTTATGTTGAACGTTCGCCCAAGTGAGGAAAATAACGGGTTCTATTCCCAAGCCGGGACATACCAAAGTCCTTAAAAAGGTAGTTGTTATTCTCAGCATCAAGGGCAATGGCACTGGTTAACCGGTTGTCAGTATAATGTGACCGGGCGTAATGCTGTGCTGGGTGACTTCGGCATGGTATTTCAGTGAGATAGCACTATAAAGTCGGCATCAGAACCGCGATATCACAAGTAGGCAAGTACATCATCATACCCTGTTTCCGGCACACATACATACATGCACGCTTACACAACACACATGAAGACACGTCCTCAAATGACCTTAGCTTAGCTTTTAATAGGACATTTAACCAATCAAAACAAAACCATCACTCAAGTAATCATCGTTGAAGGCACGTTTGCGCCGTCAAAATGAATGTTAATCCGTATACAAATAGCACACTGATCCTGATAATTACAATGTACACAATAAACGAATCATTTTGAGGTCGCTAAGGATGGATATAACCAAATTTAAGGAAAATTCATTCAAGAGAACATAGAGGGTTAAGTCTCCTCATATTTACCATTGACAGGTGTATTTTCACGTACGACTGCTACATCCGCCTCAAATACAATAGGACCGTTCTTGATAATGGAAGGGAGTGAAAATGTTCGGAACGATGACACCCCTCTACTTTCGACGCCCCTCCCACCATCCAACACAGTATATGTGGTTTGGCTATGAGAGACGCTTGAATGGTTTAATATTCGGACTGATGACCACCTTCCCAGTGGTTATAATTTACGATGGGGATGTTTAGTTAATTCGTTAAAATTCATGCTTTTATCTATGTCCTATATCTGAAGTGCTAAAGTGTTTAGAGACAAGAATGCACACTATAATATAAAACTATTAAAATTGCCTAATTCAATGTATACTTACTTGTCTAGCTGGAAAAGCTACACCTAAATACACATTATGAGGTGGACTTCCGGCCTTGTTATACAGCGATGCACTTAACGTACAAGGAAGTTATACAGCATGCGTAATATAAAAGTTACCCACCAGTGTTAAGTTTATACAACGACATTCATTCCCTATTTTTGTCCTCTACCAGCAAATCAATTCTTCCCATATGAGATATAAGGTTATAAGACTTACCCTGCCTTTCCCATGCTAGTTGTTATATTACAATTAGTCTGAACCCTCCTTTCTAACATAGTTGTTGCGTTGTGTTGACGCTTTCTTTCCAAGACCCTTTGAACAGTCCTTTCCCAAACCGATTGTTGCTTTACACTGAGCCTTTCTTTCCTACACTTGTTATTCCGATACATTGAACAGTCTTTTCCCAAACCTGTTGTTCCGTTACATTGAACCTTCCTTTTCTACACCTGTTGTAACGTTACATTGAACCTTCCTTTCCTATATCTGTTGTGACGTTACATTGAACCTTTCTTTCCCACACCTGTTGTTACATTATATTGAAACTTTCTTTCCTACACCTGTTGTTACGTTATATTGAACCTTCCTTTCCCACACCTGTTGTTACGTTACATTGAACTTTCCTTTCCCACACCTGCTGTGACATTACATTAAACTTCCTTTCCCACCCCTGTTGTTACGTTACATTGAACCTTCCTTTCCTCCACCTGTTGTAACGTTACATTGAACATTCCTTTCCTACACCTGTTGTAACGTTACATTGTACCTTCCTTTCCTACACCTGTTGTAACGTTACATTGAACCTTCATTTCCTACACCTGTCCTTCTGTTACGTTGAACCTACTTTTCCCACAACTGATATTACGTTATATCGATCCGTCCTGTCCCACTCAATTTTGGCTTTAATGTTGAGCGTTCGTCCAAGTTAGGAAGGCAATGGGTTCTGCTCTCCAGGCCGAGACATACTCAAGTACTTTAAAGTTGTAGTTGTTATTCCCTGCTTAACATTCAGCATTTACAGGAAGACAACAACCCGGTTCAGCCGGAATGATGTGCTGGTGCCTTCGGTATGGTATTTCAGTGAGATAGCAATATAAAGTCGGCATCAGATCCACGTTATCACAAGGAGGCAAATACGCCAACATACCCTGTCTCCGGCAAACACACGCAAGTACGCATACACAACACACATGGAGGCACGTCCTTTAATTACCTTAGCTGTCAATAGGACATTGTGACGCTACATTGAACTGTGATACAACTGTACCCCTCTTTTACAACAGGAAACAGGGCATGTAATGTGTGTTTAGATAAAACGTCCTCCATCAACATATCCTGTTCAACAACAAAGACTTGTATTACGTCTGCGTTCAGTATTTATGAACATGAAACATATGACGATATTGTCTCGTAAAATTGCTTTTATGTTTTCAGATTCATGTAAATTTGTACCTGATGAAAGTATTAAAAGTGATTTGATTACTTTATAGAAACGAGAAACAACAAAAGTAAATATTTAGAAAACTACATGTCCCGTAAAATATCGTTTAATGCTATTGATAAAAAATACTGTAGTTTATGTATTCAATAGAAACGCCATTGTGGCTGAAGGGAGGTAACTCTTAATGAACTGTTGTAATGTAGTAATCAATCTACAGGCATCCATTGTTAGGAAAATGCCAAATCGCAAGTTTTTAAAGACCGGAAATTAAATTTTATCTAACATTCCTTGTGACCTGTTCTTTATAACAAAGAAAGTCAATAAATTAACAAATGTCTCCCCCTTATAATCACCTTAAGAAGCATTGAAATATGTATTTTCATTTTATTGTAATAAAACATGTATTTCATTTTTCAAATATAAACAAAAAAGGACATGATACAATGTTTGTCCACTTTTCTTGCCAATGGAACTATTTGACCTTGTGTATTTAATTAATAGGCCCCAATAATTGCCTTGTAGTTCAGTGGAGTAAACATGTGAGGCTCTGTAGTTAAGTAAGCTATAGATGGGGAAAATTAATCAGGGCCTTGTAGTGTGGTCCTGAAATTAAGTGACGTTCTCTAGTGGGGCCCTGTAATTAAGTGACGTTCTCTTGTTGGGCTCTGTAGTTAAGTGACGTTCTCTTGTTGGGCTCTATAGTTAAGTGACGTGCTCTTGTCTGACCCTGTAGTTAAGTGACGTTCTCTAGTTGGGCTCATGGTCCTGAAGTCAATTGACGTTCTCTAGTTGGGCCCTGTAATTAAGTGACGTTCTCTAGTTGGGCTCTGTAGTTAAGTGACGTGCTCTTGTCTGGCCCTGTAGTCAATTGATGCTCTCTAGTTGGGCTCTTGGCCCTGTAGTCAATTGACGTTCTCTAGTTGGACCCTGTAATTAAGTGACGTTCTCTTGTTGGGCTCTGTAGTTAAGTGACGTGCTCTTGTCTGGCCCTGTAGTCAATTGATGTTCTCTAGTTGGGCTCTTGGCCCTGTAGTCAATTGATGTTCTCTAGTTGGGCTTTTGGCCCTGTAGTCAATTGACGTTCTCTAGTTGGGCCCTGTAGTTAAGTGACGTCCTCTTGTCTGGCCCTGTAGTCAATTGACGTTCTCTAGTTGGGCTCTTGGCCCTGTAGTCAATTGACGTTCTCTAGTTGGGCCCCGTAATTAAGTGACGTTCTCTAGTTTGGCCCTGTATTTAAGTGACGTTCTCTAGTTGGGCCCTGTAATTAAGTGACGTTCTCTAGTTGGGTCCTGTAATTAAGTGACGTTCTCTTGTTTGACTCTGTAGTGAGTTGAATTCTCTTGTTGGACTATGTAGATAAGTGACGTTCTCTAGTTGGGCCCTGTTGTTAAATGACATTCTATAATTGGGCAGTGTAGTCCATTGACGTTCTCTAGTTGGGCCCTTTAGTTCTGGGAACTGTGGACTGATAAACAGTGTATCGCTACCCTTATAGTTACATTTTACGTTGTATTTCATTAACAAACTCCATTTACTTTCCTAATTCACCTACTATATACACATTATTTCTATTTTTTGCTATGTAACCGTGTTGTACAGCAGTTATATTAAAGATATTAAATATACGAATAAAGAATGTTGAATATAAGAATATTCAATCTCGTTTTCTACTATGCGAGATACGAAAGATAAACCTTTAACATTTGGTAATAAATACGGTATGGGGATACGGTATGGGGAAAATTAATCAGGGCCTTGTAGTGTGGTCCTGTAATTAAGTGACGTTCTCTTGTTGGGCTCTGTAGTTAAGTGACGTTCTCTTGTTGGGCTCTGTAGTTAAGTGACGTTCTCTTGTTGGGCTCTGTAGTTAAGTGACGTTCTCTTGTTGGGCTCTGTAGTTAAGTGACGTTCTCTTGTTGGGCTCTGTAGTTAAGTGACGTTCTCTTGTTGGGCTCTGTAGTTAAGTGACGTTCTCTTGTTGGGCTCTGTAGTTAAGTGACGTTCTCTTGTTGGGCTCTGTAGTTAAGTGACGTTCTCTTGTTGGGCTCTGTAGTAAAGTGACGTTCTCTTGTTGGGCTCTGTAGTTAAGTGACGTGTTACGGTCTGTCAAAAAGAAACTACACTGCATCAAACATCCTGTTTAATAACACTCAGCAATTTAGGAGTGGGACGACCGGTTCCCCGTTGTCAGGATAATGTGACCGGGTGGGGTATCCTACTGGGTGTCTTCGGCAGTATGTTTCAGTGGGGTAGCACTATAAAGTCGGCATCAGTTCTGCGCTATCACAAGGAGACAAACACGAACATATCGCAGCCTCCCAAAACATACACGCATACACTACACGCATGCATCTTGAACACAGGGGAGGCCGTCCTTAAATAACCATAGCTGTTGATAGGACGTTAAACAATATTAAACCAAACTAAACTTCAGCTGTTCCGTCCTTGTTGAACTTATCAGTGGTGCTAGGAAACAAATAATAGAAATTCAACTTGGTTTAAATAACTGTTAACGTCACTCGGCGCTTTTCTTTAAGTGAGGCTCCACCAGCATGGTATTTACAAATCGCAAATGATATGGAAAGGAAATGAAGATGATTTTGATCACTTTACAATGATATCTATTGTCTTCAAGGCATCGTCATCAAACCTATATCATTTCCATTCCAGGTGCTGGGGAGTCTGGGAAGAGCACAATTTTTAAACAAATGAAGTAAGTATCCACTTAGCTTTTATATCATATATAATTTTACCAATCAAAGCAGGCGAATATATTAATTTAGATATTTTTCAGCCTGTGTTTATGTGTCTTTTTTTCGTTTCCAATGTTCACGAAATATTCATAAATGCGTCAGCCTTTTCCCGACCACTCGACTTCTTTTGGATAGGATACGTGTATATATTGTTTATGAGTTGACATAGTGAACATATCGTGACGTACAAACAGACAATAGCCAATTTGTAAACAAGTTACAATAATCACTCCAAGTTTTGAAATGTTGCTTTTACGTCGATAATGTCTTATGAATTAAGTTGATTATCATTGTTTGAAGACTTCTAAGAATACAAAGAAACAATAAGAATCAACAACAACGTTGCGTATCAATAACCGATAAATAAACAATAAACATATCAATGTTTAAAATGTTGTCGAAAAAGCCTAACAGGTTATGGATCAAGTTAATCACCTTTGTTTAAGTGATCTACGTTAGTCTTTTTCCCTTTTTTTCTATTTTTGCTGATTGTATTCTCATTTTCTTGGAATGCTATTACCATCACAGTATCATCTATGACCGAGGATATACGCCAGAGGAGTGTATGGAATACCGACCAGTGGTGTATAGCAACATTTACCAGTCCATGACCACCATCATCAGAGCTATGGGAAATCTGAAGATAGACTTTCAAGATCCTGAACGCGCAGTCAGTATAACTACTTAGTCCAGTATTTAATACTGTATTGTGATAGTTATCGTCAGATATACAAACAACATTCCTAGTTCCTACTGTAGCATTATAATCACTTGTGAAGTGAAACAGGACCTCCATTTTACGTATGTATGTGTGTGTGTGTGTGTGTGTGGTGTGTGGGTGTGTGTGTGTGGGAGGGGTGGGAGGTTGCACACAATCCCAATTCTTGAGAAAGAGAAAACACTGCATCTTTTGTAAAGCATGAAGAGAGGCACAGAGGCACTGTATCGCTCACAAGGATAGTTGATCAATCATGGGAAAATATTCTCAATAAAAGTAATTTTGCAAACATTTCCATATAGTGAGTCTCCTTGGCTTAAGAATGTTCTAGACTAAATTAAACTTTGTTCCAGCATGCTACTGGTCAAATATCATCACCAAGGGCCATCAGTTATTACGGGAGAAGTTGTTTAAAGATATTTTCGTATCTGTATCCTGTAACCTTGAAAGTAGGTAATGTCGTTTATTTGAGGCAACTTGATAGCACTTTGTACCAGGTACCTAATGGCCAAGTATTCTAGGCTGCCTGGGTATTCAGAAGAAGTTGTTAGAGGTTATAATATATTTGACCCATGTGACTTTGAAAGTATGTCAGTGTCATTTATTTGAGGAAACTTGATATTATCTGTTCCAGGAACCTTCTGGCGAAATGTCATTGCTCTAGGCCATTTGGTTATTCAGAAGAAGTTGTTTAAAGGTTTTTAAACGTTCGTCGAAAGACAGGACGTATAATGTCATCACGTTGTCGGGCGGGGGGTGGGCGCACTTGGTGCCCGCTCGATATCTTCACTAATGTTCAACAGATTAATTACCATAGCAGCTTGGACAAGTTTGAAAACCACCAATATCTGACGTTAACGTACGGAGTTAGGGCCCTTTATTCACTTTCCGAAACGGTTTCCGCTCGATAGCTTCACTAATTTTCAACAGATTGAATTCAAACTTCAAAAAAGGTTCATTATCATAGCAGTTCAGACAAGTTTGATAACAAACAATATCCGACGTTAACTTACGCAGAAATGACCCTTTATCAACGTTCCGAAACGGTGTCCGCTCAATAATATCTTATTTTCAACATATTAAATTCAAACTTCATAGGTGGGTTTATTTCCATAACAGCTCGGGCAAGTTCAATAACAACATATATCCAACGGTAATGCATTCCCTAATGTTCTATTACCCTACAGTTGTGGCATCGATGTGTGCACGGAGTGTGAACGATGAGTACACTGAGTGTGAACGATAAACATACATTTGCGCGGACGATCGACGAACGTTGTGCGGTAACACTCGTGGTTGGTGTAAATTGAGGAAAGGCTTAACAATATAAACGGTTTGGTGTTTAAACATGTAAACTTGATTGTTTAGTATGTTTCTATATTCTAGCTACATCTTTAAGCTAATCTTACTGTCTATACTTTTTTAAAATAAGAAATGGTGTGTTTTCGGTGTTTTTTAAACGACCTTAGTCGACAATGGTAAATTCCAACACAGTCTCGGCAACATACGTAAACATAGCCACTTTGTACCTGGACCGTAGTTTTCCCCCCGCCCGGGGCACTAACGTAACTCGCGAAGGTGTGAAAACCAGGCAAAGTGGAGCTATACATCAGAACGAATGGAAATAACAAATACTCAACGTCCAGTTGTGTTTTCATAACGACATAGCAGCTCTATGTGTCAGGCACAGGTCAGGTTAAACTCCGGTCACTCATCAAATTGTTATTTACTTGTTCTGTTACCTAGCTAGGAGCCAAATCAATTCTTGACAGTCTAACGGTCACTGTATACTGTGTTACACGCATTGTGCGGAGAGAAGCGCACAACGGGGCGAACGATTGTTTAATCGCCCAGTTGTGCGCACCATGTGTGGACGATGTGCGGACGGTATGTGAACGATGTATGCACATGTACAGTGTGCGCACGGTATTGTTGGTGCGTTGTGCGGCCACACAACTGTAATTGATCTATCATGTTTGAAAAATTATTTCTCCTCATATTTTAACCATACAAACAACGGGTCATTCAAAATGTGACGGACGTATTACATACCGCTTTGCGGTGCCCTTGTTACAATTTTGAACCCTGTGACCTTGAAAGTAGGCCAAGTTCATTTATTTGAGGACAAAATATAGCACTCTGTCCCTTGTACCTACTTGACTACTGGCCAAATATATATTGAGGGACGTTTATAGCACTTAATGCCAGATACCTACTGGCGAAGTATTATTACTGTGGGCCTCCGAGCTATTCAGCTGAAGTTGTTTAAAGGTTTTAACATATTTTACCAATGTGACCTAGAAAGTATGTCAGTGTCATTTATTTAAGGAAAATATTGCTCTGATTCAGGCACATGTACCTACTGGCTAAATATCATTGCTCTAGGCCACTTGGTTATTCAGAAGAAATTGTTAAGAGGTTTTTACAATTTTGAACCCGGTGACCTTGAAAGCAGGTCAAGGTCATCTATTTGAGGACAAAATATAGCACTCATTGTTTAAATAACAAGACAGTTACCCTTTTATTTGTGTAACCTTCATGATGGTCATTGTTCTTAATCTTATTTTAATTGTATACGCTGTATATCAAAGGTGCATTTCATAATTACACTGATTACTAATAGGATAACAAATCTTGAAATTGTTGATATCTGATTTGTCCTTACTGAATGTTATTGTTATTATATAGAGAGATATTGTATAAGTTTTAAACGTCAATGTGACGGAATATATATATATATAACAAAACACGAAGACTTAATTTCGCTGGCACTTTCGCCAATCTTGGGGCTCTTAAGACGACTTGCGACGTCATAAATTGAAAACAAATACTTAGGACGTCAAAAAATAATGACGTCATAAACAAAGTTCACACAATTCGGACCTCTAGAAATAACGACGTCTTTAAATGATTACAATGAATGTACTTACGTGAAATACGTCTTAGAAATACACGGACAAAGAAACGGAGCATATTATAAAAGCTCAAATGAATACATTGTTCAACAGTAAACGTAAACAAATCTGATAGTAAGTATCAATATCAAAGCACAATACTTGGTTCATCCGAACTTGTCAAACACACGGAATTTTGAGAATTTAAACTTATAAGAGGTGCTCGAAATTGCTCGCGTAAAGGCCCAGTTTTAGAATTTTAATTTAAATTCTCTTTCAATGTCTGATGTATTCATTTGATGAATTTGAAAACTTATGAAACTGTTTGTTAACTTATAAATTTCGTAAACTCACAGATTTGGTTTGTTGGCGATGGACTGGCGTCCTATGACGTAGTTCATTTCAAGGTTGACCTATGTTGAATTCAGAGCATCTTTTACAACTTACAGCATCTATTACATTTTTTATTTGCAAATTATATTACATCCCATTTCAAATGTTTGCCATTCTTAAAAACAAACGAATCACATTTAATAATCATGCTACATGTTCCACATCTCGGTTCCAAACGTTTTATCACGCTGTAATGTACATTTTGTTTTCATCAATTTTTGACTTGCACAGTAGATGTTTAAGGTTTTGTTGAGGTCTTTTGCAATGAATTATATTCTTCTTCTCTAAAACACGTTTCATATTTTGCTATTCTTGTTAACAAAATGTAGCGTTCAATCTTATAACAAATTGTATACTATACTTTTTACTAGCATTGGCACTGTTTGGGTCTTCAACTGAAATCGGACCATACTCATTAGCTCTTTGAATACCGTTAAATATGATTTCGTCTTGATAGTACGGTTTTCTACGATAATCTCCTAAATTATTTAATCGCTCCTCTAACTTATATGTATCACTGAGTATGGTTTACTAATCTAGACGCCAAACAAAATGGTATGTTAATTTTTGTATGTTTGGTGTGACAGGAATGAAAACAAAGATTGTTCTGGGAATCAGTTGGTTTGCAATACAAATCTATAGATATGTTTCCGTTTGTTTATTCTACCAAAACATCTAGAAAAGGAAGCGTATCATCCCTAATTTCCATAGTATATTGTATATCCGAGCGTAAGGAATTTAACGATTTATAAAAATCATTGAGACATTCTTGTCAGGGGGTGATAAATCCATCATCCAAAAATCTCAAGAAATCGGAAAACTCTTTATCTGAAATCTGTTCTATTTTGTCATAAAGAATCTCTTCCAAATATCCTGATACCAATGAAGTATAGGTAGGGGAAACCCATTGCCGCTGATGAACCGCTAAAGAGGTGAAAGCGGTAGGGAGGTACTAAGAAACTCTTGTCATTTATATTTTTAACATTTAAATATCAAAAGGACTTTGGATGGTTTTCCGATTGTATAGATATATTAAAATATTTTAACCAGGAGGATGCGCGCCATTTATGTGAGCTTGGCGAGTATGGAAACCTGGGTCCTTTAGCTGATGTCCTGCAACGTTTATGGGGTGACGGGGGAGTACAGGCCTGTGTCAGTCGTTCCCGGGAATACCAACTCATGGATTGTGCAAAATAGTGAGTCATTCCTGAACAGTTTGTTTACTACTGCAACAGATGATACTCTGCATGTCATAGAGTGTCTTGTTATTTTTGTGTTGACGTGTTGAAGTTTGCCTTTGTATAAAATCAGCGAAAGCGCGACTTCGCTAGTTGAAACATTTTGCATAGCTTTTCACGAACTGTTTACAGTTCAACACTTGTTATTATATTGCATTGACATTCATGAGAATTTTGTCATAATGATAATGTAAATCTCTTTTCGAAAAAGTTAATATCTCAACGATTCTAACCTACCTACAAACTGTTGGTCTGTTCAAAACGTTATAATTAACCATAACCTCTTTTACTTTTCAAGTTAATGTATGTCGTTAACTTTTTCATGCCATTTCCTTTCACATGTTATATTATCTTTTATTGGCCCTAATAACCCAATTTGTGTTGAAGGGCCGTTAAAGGGACATCACGTGAAAAGGCGTTTTTTTAATAAATGTATGTATTGTATGCACTTCCACTTATGCTACCTCGCTATCCCCATATTCATAGTCCGTTCCAAATGTCCAGTTTGACCACTTGAATTGTTCGGGAAAGCCCTGCTAAAAATAGCGCCGATAACATCACCTGACTAGGCAGTAAACACAAGTGGTGCGAGCGAGATGAAACGGTTTCCAAAGGGGCCCCCAGAGGGGGGCCGTCAGGCAACTGCAACTTCTTACCGCACTATGAAATCAAGTTGTATCATTTCCAAGTCCGTATTCAAACTTATTGAACGGTAATTATTCATCATTAGAAGTTAATTACACACTTGCCAATGTTCAGAATTTAAATTTATTTAGCTTTAAACATAAATTTGTTGCCAATAAAATTAAACAAGGGATGGGGCACAAGTTTTTACAATTTATCACAGCCTTCTCCCGTCATACATTTACAATTAAATGTCAACAATGATAATAGGCATAAACATAAAGTAGATATATTTAAATATATGTTGAATTTAGTACCGAAATGTGGCCGTTACAGATGGTACGGGGCTAAACAACTTCCCTACACCAAGGGACAAACCTTTCTGATTTTTTTATATATTGCCGGGGCAGAGGAAGCCGGGTATTCATATAAGTACTAATTTAAATCTTGCATGTAAAAACAAAAATAATCGTTTAATTCAGCAATATAATCCAATCATACCATTTTATTGAACCCGGTAATATTATAAAATATGTAAATCCACGGACTTAGATAACATGTATCTCGGTGACCCAGAAAATACGCCGTGAGCCATCACAACAGTTATCCCTTGGAGGGCCTCATGGCAAAATCAAACTAACCAGTCACTTATCCCTTCCTTTCGCATAAACCACTGTATAATCAAAGAAACACAAAGTAAACTCTCTCCAATACATGCCCATTAACATATTAAACTAAGTTCATCTGTGTTCAAACTCAGACAAAGATACTAGCGTGCTTAATAGTTTTAAATATTTATTCACGCCAGTAAAAGACAAAAACCACAAACACACTTTTGCTGACACACGGCTTTAGTGGCGCTACCACTTTTCTCTAAAAAAAGGGAGCATATCCCACAGTTCGAATAGTCTTGTTGCGAGGAGATAGCTACACACCTCTGCTGGCTTGGTTATCTGACCACGTATGTACATAGGCATAGATACAAAACACTAGTACTTTAACTCAAAATCAGAAATCTACCCAGTTCAATTGTACATAATATAGTCCTTATAACGGTTAGGGAGATTGTACTCGCGCCTTGGACGAGAGGACGTAGTAGGTTCAGGGCTGATTTTGTCCAGAGGTGGCAGCACAGGAGTACTGCTATCGTCGTCACTTGGTATAGGATCACGTGAATCATCATCGGACGGTAGAGAGTGCTGAGGTGGCACTGAGATCACCATGGGGATGTCCGGGATTTGAGGTGTAGGAGCCTCCTTTTGAAGGACTGTTGATTCCTCCTCCTCGTCATCAGTAGACCCGTCTGCTATTGAGGAACCAGGGAAAGCATTGTCCACAATAGTATTGGCCACTTTGTAGCAGTCGGTGAGTTTTACTCGATAAGCTGTAGACCGCAATTGGTTGCCAACAAACTTCTGAATGTTACACCATGCTCCCTCCACTTTAACGACAAGATATCGGTTTCGTGCTTTGGTTTTGTTCCTGTCCGAATATAGGTACACAAGATCACCAACCCGAATAGTCGGACACTTAGGGGTTAAGCCTTCTGGGGATTTGGACTTCTCGCTGAAAGCATGGTTGGCTTGGCGGTTGTTATGTTGCTCCAATATAAGTGACTGGTCATCCAATGGGATTTGTTGGTTGAGGAACTGATCACGATGAGACCACATTTCTCTTGATGACAGACCACGATTACGAATTCGGGTATTGACACGGGCAGTCGCCAAGGAAAGAAGTAGTGGTGTCACTGCTCGGCATACTGGATCTTGGCGAAGAATTTCATCTTCCAACTCCTGAATAGCCCTTTCTGCCACAGGGTTCTTGTTGATGTTCTTCGGGTTACTAATTTCAATCGCCAATCGATATTGTGTGAGTAGTTCGTCACCTACTAGAGCTTTGATTCCTGGAGCGGCATCGGTTCGTAAAACGGCAAAAGGACCATCTAATGGACTGAGTGGAATGCACAGACGAAGGAGACCCTCCCTAAGCGTGTCTCGACGTTCATCCTCAAGTTGCATAGTTAAGGTGTACGATGTAACACATTCCCGCACAAGGAGGATGAATTGACGTTCACGTTTGATGACATCAGCAGCAAACTGACTGCCTACTGTTACCGTGGGATCAGTTGTACTCTGGGTTGCCAAGAACGAAGGGGTTTTCCTCAGGGACGCGCACTGATGACAACTGTCAGTGACACGGTAGATAGCACTGTCCATGTCTAGAGCGTCTAAATATCTGTTGACCACGGACTTGAGTTGATGATTGCTGGGGTATCCTAGCTTAATGTGAAGAGCTGTAAGTAGGCCATCGAGAACAGAATCCGTCTTTGAACTCACAAAAGTACATACCTGACATGTTGGGTCTTCACAAGAGGGGGCATTACGGCTGGCAAAGTCAGATGGAAGAATAGAGGAGCCAGACACGTGTCGAATTGAAACTTGGAATCGGCTGGCAGTCGACAAGAACGTAGTTACACGTGGACTAGCGGAGAACTCCCCTCGACAAAGCTTTTCGAAGGCTTGAACGCATGGCTTACTGTCGGTAAGGATACAAGTATTGAGGGCAGACTGAATTATATATGGTGAAAAATGGTTGATCACAGC